GTTCACTCGGGACGAAGTGGCCAAATGAGAGTACGCTGATCCCTTTCACTGCCGGGTCTTGTTTTCTTTTTTTACTCCTGCTCAACCCCTGCCTGGTCTTTTGGCATGTAACTCGGCAATGGTGCTCTTTCTTGAATGCACCATCAGCATTATGGAAGCCAGAAATGCATAGAATTCACATGCAGTCACATCTCTCCACTGGTCTATACATAATTGCTCCGTGGACAAAACGCAGCGAGTGTTTAACACTGGAAAAGGTGCGTTTGCTCAACAATTGCATCCACGACCTCCCATGTAATCGAGCCACCTATAGTCAGTGATAGGCTAAGGGCTAAAGGGAAGCTCCTTCCACCCCTTTCCCCTTCACAACCGATTCACAGGACAGGCTGATCCGTGCACTGATTGATCACGTGACGACATGTCCGCAGTTCGTCTCCCAAGTGCGTCCACACGAGGGAGGCGACAAGCAGACGCCGAGCGAGGACGGATCGTACCACTTTGCCACACCACAGTGCTGCGGAACTCCAACATTGCACTGTGGCACTGTTGTCCAGAAGAGAAACTGGCATTTGGTACCGCAATAAACAATCTTGCGCCACTGTCGGGTACAAAGCGAGGCAGAACACCGTGATAGGCTTCGTGTGAAGTGCCATTAGCTTCACAGAGTTTTACATCCGAAGATTACTCGGTGCTACTGGTGGACAATTGTTTTGTTCACAATGCTGACAGCAGAGATGCGCTTCAGGTACTAAGCAGACCCTAACAGGTTAAGCGCCATTCACATTCTTGCAGCCGAGTATGACCGAGAGAGACCAGACCGGTTTTAAAGCCTTTTGCGACTTCTTGGGACCGGATGTGCTACAGCGGAGCTGGTCCTAAGAGATCGCAAGAGGCTTAAAAACCGGTCTGGTCTCTCACGGTCGTACTCGGTTGCAAGAGTGTAAACGGACCTTTAGTTTCAGATGCTTGTAACCCTTCTTCCTCAGCCCTTCCCCCCCAAAAAAGACAAACTGTGTAAACAGGACGAATAAAAACATAATGTTCTATAGAATAATGCAGAGGACGCAAGTGATATTCCTGCAGTTGTAGTATCCTTCAGAAAGGGCCAGTTAGTTTCCTTCCGGGGCAGTTTTCAGCTTAAACAGTGGCTTTCCGGGAAGAGAGACAAAATGTGTGGCTTTATTCATTTTCAGTCTAGAATTGGTTACCTTGGCCTCATCTGGGGCATTTGAGCTTGTGCAGGCACCATCTTGTAGGCAGTGTTTTCTGGCATTTATCAATTCCTAAAGCTGAAAGTAGACAAAATGTCTGTTTTAAAATACAATACAGAGTCACCTTTTTGCTTGAAGAAAAATGTGAAATTTAAAACACTGCCTAGGTTTTTTTGTTTTTTTCTTTTTTCATTGTTTTTTTTGTTATTAGATCCTAAACTTGGTTTCCCTTCAATGTTTCCTCAGCATTACAAACCTTGAGCTCTAGCGACATGGCTCCTTGTGTTCTCATACTATGGCTTGTGTGCTATGTATCTAACATTTACCCTAATGTTTGCACCCTGCTTTGGCACTAAAATCCTATCTGCTTGTTATGGCATGAGACTGCCTTGTACTCTCCCAATGAGTTGCCAGGACTCTGTGCACTTTGCTTCGATCGTACTGCTCATCTCTTTTGAGGTCCAAAGGCAGCAATTTCGCTTTTTTTCTAAATGACAAAAAAAAATAAAAAATTAGGTGGTTCTGTATTTTTTTATTTCCTTCAGCAAGCAAGACCTGCCTGAACATGGAAATCTCTCGGAGGTACATAAGAATAATGTTAAAAGCAAAAGATACTGCTAGCTTTTAAACTCTAATGCAAATTAGACAAAAAAAAAAAATGTTGCCAATCAATTATGGCTGTTAGTTACACTTCAGAGGTTTCCTTTGGAACGAACCATCCTGGGTTGGGACTTTCAACCTCATGGCTCGCAACCCACAACAACCTCTTTGCCACGGAGGCAATCGCGCGTCAAGTTCTCCGATACCTTGGAAGTTCTCTTCCCCCTTGTGCAACTTGTGGTGCTCGCCGCAGTACCGTTGCCAATGTGGATATCGGCATGGTTTCTGGACTAAACACGTCCAAGGACCGTGACGGAACTTGGATCGTCGGTCGGAAGATTTTCCGGAAGTTGTCGCAAGGTTTCACTTCCACCCCCTGGGATTCCTTGCAGTGTCGTTATAGACTATCTTGGAATGCTTGGCTCGGATGCAGAGTTTGACCAAGTTTCAAGGCACGTGGGTCACACGACTTTCCGAATCGCCGGAATTCACTCGCTCAATTTCTACGCAAAGTAGTTGCATGGTTTGCCTTTGTTGCCGTACCTCGTCGGCCACTGTGTACCGATCCCAGTGGCCGCTTGACAGTTGATTCCGTTAGGGATCCAGGCTTCCAAGAGCGCCGTTGGGTTGCAACTTGATGCGGTTGCAGAGAGAGGCGGGGTCAAGTGACGGGGTGCATTGGTGTGGCTCTGGGCGGCGGCCTTGTGCACTCAATTGCTGGGCACGCATACTCTCCCAGCTTTCCCGGAGCGGGGCTATTTATAAGGGGCCCCAGAATGCCCCTGGTTAGGGTGCCAAGGCTGGGTTGCTAGGGCCCCGCGTTCTTTGAACCGTCCTGGCCGCCTTCCCCGACGCACACTTGACTTCCCTGCCTGCCTCCCGTGGGGCAGGGATGGGCGGTGGCTGCTTTGTGACTGCAGACACGTGTTTTCTGGCCCTCCTCTGCATTTTTAAACAGCTGGTGGAGCACTTTTGTGACCTCTAAATTAGCGGAACTTCCCACAAGCTGAGCGATGAAGTATGTTGTTTACAGTTCTGACTGCTGGATGTAGTCTTAACTGGAGCTACTTGCAATGAAGGGTGAAAACACTTTGGTGTCTATTGTCTGTCCTTGTTTCGCAAAAGCAGCATAGTCTTTTTTTCTTTCTTAACAACAGCAGATTCTATTTGTGGGAACAACAGTGAGAAAGGTATTAACTTATTTTACATTGTCTAAGGTCTGGGGAATTCTGCAAGGGAGAGCGGAGGCAGAATCATTTACTGGCTTCCGTCGCTGTTTCGTGGACAAAGCTAGTAGCTCGATCTTTGCAAACACCAGCTCATGCTTCTGCTTCTTTTGTCCCACAATAATTGTCCCAAAGTCATGATACAAGCGCGTACAGTGTCTCCTGTTGTAATTTTTTTTTCAAATCGCCCAAATGAGCAGGAGAATGCCATTGTAATGATTGAGGTTGTGTGGATATTTAGACAGCGCGTGGTTGGGCAGCCATTTCAAAGTTGCGACAAGTCACTCGCTGTAGATGAGAACTTTAGCCAGTGGTGTACAACCGCTAGCCTGGGGTCTTTTAACGTGTACCACACAGGAGTGATAAACGACCGTGCGCTAGTACAATGTTCATCCAGATCGAAACGGGCAGGGGTGGGGATTGAACCCAGGATCCCTGGGTTCTGCAGCGCGAGCTTTCGCTCCACGTGCTCCGAGCTTGTGTGCACTAGCCCGCTCAGCCACCAATCCCCCACAAATGGCCATTTTGTTGCATTGAAAACTGTGTTTGCTTTTCATTTGCCCTTGCATGTACAAGGAACGTTTAACACATGCTTCCTTTGAAGTGCTGGCCACTATCAATCCCTGCCCGTTTCGATCTGGATGAGCATCGTACCGGCGTGTGCTTGTGTATCATTACTGTGTGGTGCACCCCAGGCTAGTGGTTGTACTGCACTGGCTAAATTGCTCATCTACAGCGTGTGACTCGTCGCAACTTTGAAATGGCTGACCAACTACACGCTGTACAAAGATCCACACAACCCCAACTATTATAGCAGTGAGCAGCATCTGGAAAGGGGGGGGGGTCTCGTGGCACAAGTGTCAAAACTTGACTGACCAGTTCATCGAGGAGTTTGCACTCAACTGTGGTCACTGTCAAGCTGTAACATTTTGTTGCCCATGTGGGAATGCTGGAAATGACTTAAATTGTGTGAGAAATCAAATCTTGCGAAGTTTGAAACTCGGAAAAAGCTGCGACAGATAGATTGTGGTAGCAAAGAAATAGAAATAGATAGCTCAAAATTTTGTGCCAGCGAAAGATTCCCAAAACCCGTACATCGCAATATTCGTCAAATATTGAGCCCGGAAAAATGGTCCTTTACTGTACTTGGTTAACACTAGTGATCCTGTGCATCGATGCTGCTGCTTGTTTTTTTGTTTGCAATATAAAAGTTTTATAATATTTTGTTGAGAAACGGTAACCTCTGATGTTACTCCTGGAAAACCCCATGCATGTGATTTGGAAAAGCTGTACTAAAAAAAAAAAAAATTGGTAAACATACCTTGATTGGAATCTACACAAGAATGGCTGGCAGGTGGCAGAACTAAGTTTGTTGACAAGCAAAACCAGAGTGAGAAAGAAAAAAAGAAATGAAATGTCGCTTTGCTACATGAGCCCAGCACCTGTAGAATGGCCCAATCTCTGGAATGGTGGCGTATCCGGAGCGTCACTTTGGAGTACAATACGGTGTGCATGTTTGTCCGCTCCTTGCGTGTTTGTTTACCCACCAAGTGCACCCACGTGCTTTCGTTTAACTCGGTTATGGAAGTGCCCATAGACGGCGCTTCCACACGCAGTGTTCAGGTGAAGTGCATTCACACTGGCTTTCAAATCGCGGCCATGAAGCGGATCCGCTCATTTTCATCGTCAAGAGCGCACAAAATCATATTGGTTCCTTCAGCAATCGCGTTCACAACAACTTTGCAAATGCTATTCGACCGCCCGTGCGAATGCGGCAGTACGCAGGTTTTGATGTATGGCGTCTCGACGGCAGCGTTGCCAAAAAGTACAGTTTCGAAGTGCGACCTCTAGATGGCGCTTCAAACGACGGGTGGTGGGCTCGGGGGAGGGAGATGGGCTACCCCCCTCTGTGGGAGTTCCCCAATCGAGGTGACCTAACGTCGCTGCTTCTCGATGCCCACAGGTCCAGAAAGGAGGGACGGTCAAGTTGCGTCCGCTGACCGTCGCCATGTCGAGCGTGCGGACGCCCCTCCAGACGGTCCACGAGTCTGTCACCACGGACCAGGTGAGGGCCCATGCGCCCACCCTCATGGCCGGCCACATTATTTCCGGGGTCCTGGGTGTTGTCTATTGACCTGTCTTCTAATTCGAGTCTGTGTGCGACTTCTATGTAACACGGTATGCAGGCATACATTAGCGGAGTTTCTTCGACCCTTAATGTCCTGCTCCTTCTACCCTTCTTCATACTCTTTCCCGGTCATACTTGCCTGCACTTTACTGCTTCTCAAGGGCATTCGGGGCAGCAGTAAAAGAAGTGCCGCATGAACTTAAAAAGGACTGCATTGTCCGGTGCTAGGTGTCTGCATCACTTTAAACACAATAAACACAAACACAAGCTTGGTTCTTAGGCGAGGAAAATTGCTCTAGAAGAATGGTATAGGCGCGAAAGAAATGAGAATGGCAGGGAGGACCTTGGGTTTTCCCGTGTCCAGCACGAGCTTCCGACCTTGACATGGCTCAAGCATCTCGTGAGCCTGGATATCCGAAAGAGGCGTCCTGCTGTTCTCATCGAGTCAGGGCCCATATATCGGTCACATGCCAATTCTGCTCCGTTTTGTTGCTGCAGTTAAAATGGCCAAAGCAAGGCGTGGCAGTGTTCACCTCGCTTCTGATTGAAGTCTTTGTGGGTCTTTATCGTAACTTGGTGCCAAAGTCTACATTATTACCGTTTCCTCGGTCTCTGATGGTGGTGCTAATCCCCCTTCTTCGGGCCATAATTTCAACCACATTTTTTACTGCTTCTCACTGGTGATGCTCTTGGGGTAGCTGTCAAAAACACACCTACTGTAAAATACCGGGCAAGCGCCCACTCAAAATTTAGAGATCATTGCAAAAGAATGTGGGATGGGCGCTTGCCCAGTCATCAATTTTACATATCAATGTACTGTGCATATTTTCTCAGATCTTACAAATTTGGGAATGGGCGCTTAATGTGGAATGGGTGGATGCTCGGTATTCTACGGTAGTGGATTTGTGTTGCTAGGCGTCTGTATCACTGCAAACGCAAATATAACTCTGTTCTTGGGAGTGTTGCTTTAGAAGGATGGTGGTTTCATATATCTTGAGCTTGTACAGAGGTAGTGAGTTGTTGGAACCCACAATAGGACCTGGCCTGATTCCTAATGGCATTTGAACCGATGGCAGTTTAGCCCACGAGCTTAGTGTTTGATCGTTCTAAGCATTTCTGGCACAGTGCTTCCTCAAGGGCATTACTTTACATAAATAGTGGTGGACAGGAGGAAAGGGGAGAAGGCAGTGTGTCGACAATTTTACATTGCGGTGTAGCATGCACAAGTCACAGCCCACCATGCGCAGGCTTTCTGCTCGGCAGGCGAGCAAGCACGTGCTGTACATAATTGATAGAGGAATTAAGACTAAAAGAATGTCGCGTAAATGTTCACGAGGCCATTCATACATGCTTTGATGTGGAGATTAAAACTAAAAGAACGTAGGTTTTCCGTCTGCACTGGTAGGTAACGTTGCACCTTGGAAGTGCGAAGACTGCAGAGCTTTGAGCGAAAAGCTGGGCAGGGCAATTGGAGTGCTCTGCAGAAGAGTGCATTTTACCCAACCTGACTGTCTCCCCTTTAAATGCTGCCTAAGGCAGATGGTACGCTGCCAGGGATAGCTTGTATGACATTCCTCGCCGAGCATTTTGGGTTTGCGTGGGGACTGCTAACCTCACTGTCGTTTTCAGGGGCCGGTCTTTAAGCTCCCCAAATCTCCGCCGGTGAGTGAACTCTCTTGGTGTGCGTGTCTCGGAGGGTGTGCCGTCCGGGAGTCCCTTGTCTATCTGTGCACAGCACGATTTGGAAGCGCGGGGGGATGGTCGACGCGGTGGCAATGCAGCCGCCGACTTCTTCTCTGCATAGTTCATAGCTACGTCACATCGTCGGGCCTTGTGACTCATTGACAGCTGGGCTAATGGCATCGCTGCAGGTGTTTCGGTAACTTGAGCTGTTCCAACGGGAGCTCTGTGCTCGTAAAGGACTTCAGCGGGGGCCTTGCACTCTGGTTGGGTAGTCTGATTTCAGGTAAAAAGATCATGAACAGTCCCATGCAATGCTTCTCTTCCTCGTAAATAGTTTAGGAGAATCTCTTCCTTGTTCCCCAAGATGTATCTACAGGTACTGAGTGGCTATGGGTTCATTGTTATTGGGTGCTGAGTGACTTAATTTATATTGTTGTCACTATCTAGGAAAGTGGTGAGTGTGTCTTCTGACCTGTTTATTGCTGCGGTCCTTTTCTCTAGGTTCTACCTGCTATAAGTCAGGATGAGAACGGTAGTTCTTCCCTCTCCAGCACACAATTTTTGGTAACGCTTTGGCGCTTCCTGAGCCTAAAATTTGCACGCTCAGCCAAAGCAAGAGGGAAGGTACCGACAGCGTGCCAAAGGCCTGAAATAGGCGCAGTTTTCGTTCTTTCTGGGACTATTGATATCCGTAAAATGCTTCGGTAGCTTCTCGACATGGAGCACTCGGGTTTCTTGGAGGTTTACTCGCCTTCCGTATAGTCCCACTTTTTAATACTCCATTGTGCCTTCAAAATAAGATGCCAAACTGCGAAATTTTATTGCTTAGAGCCTGGTTGCGGCGGCTGCAGTTTGTTTGGGGCTCAGTGGACTGCTGCTTTCCGGTCGTGCTGTTTCTGTGTCTATGCATATGCGCATATATCGGGCGACTGAGCGGCTGCAATTACAGCCTCCTGGAACTGAATTTTGCTTCTGATGTTGAACCAATGGTTTCTTAGATACATTGAGGCATTGAGAGCAGGAAGGCGGCTCTACATTTAAATGGAGCTTGGGTGAAAGGGGCAGACCCAAAAATAGTGTGCAGTTTGTATTGTGGAAACTAAGTCTTCTAGATAAATAGTTTGGTCAAAGAAGATAAGTTCTCGTTAAGGTTTTCCTGAATAATGATTTTGTCACAATCAAGTGGGAAGAGCTTTTGTTAGGCCACATATGCAGATATGAAAATGAACCTTTTTCTTTTTTTTGTCACGACACATTGCTGGAATCTGTCTCTTTTCACAAGTGTTTTTCTGCCATGTGGGCTACCGAAATCCCAGTACTTTGGTCGTACCACCACCAACATTAGTTTCAAGTGACTCTTCCTTGCTTCTAGCCACAGACTTGTAACGCTTGCCTCATACCTTACCGCTGCCCACAAACACGACGGGTGGAGCAAGATGCATGGCGAGCCGAGCCGCCTCAGTGGCTCCGAGGCAGAGTGCCAGGGTACAGATCTCCGGGTAGTGGGTTTGAATCCTGGTTGAGGTGCCCACAGTCTGACTGAGACTTATTGCAGAGCAGGCACCGTTTAACCGAGGTTTTGGTTGTACATCAAACGATCCCCACATGATCTAAATGATTCCTCAACAAAGGGCATACTAGATGCCCTTGGTTGGTTTAGCATGTAAAAAAAATTTGACTTTGTTTATGCAGCGAGTTGCAGAGGCTGACATAGCCTAGCTTCCCGCACTTTGTGCTTGTCCCGTGGCAACCGGTGGTGGCTTCTTTTTCAATCTGAGCATCTCGTGGGTGATGTCCCTTAACCTTATGCGTGTGTCCCGTCCCAGGGGGAGGATGCGTCGATGCTGGCGCCCCGCACGACGGCGTCCTCACGCAGCCGCACCTCTGAGGAGCCCCACATCGGCCGGTACCGGCTGCTCAAGACCATCGGCAAGGGCAACTTTGCCAAGGTGAAGCTGGCCAAGCATGTGCCCACGGGCAAGGAGGTGGCCATCAAGATCATCGACAAGACCCAGCTGAACCCATCGAGCCTGCAGAAGCTCTTCCGCGAGGTGCGCATCATGAAGATGCTCGACCACCCAAACATCGGTAAGTGGGACGCTGCCCTAGCTTCCACGACAGTGCTGTGGCATAGCTTCCACAGGCTCACATAGCCAACGCAGTGCTGCGGTATAGCTAATGCTCTGTTGCAGCATAGCTTCTGTCAGCTAGTCAGCTTAGCTTCTACAGGCTTGCACAGCTAATATGGCGCTGCGGCATAGCTTCCACAGGCTAGCATAGCTTCTATTGGTTAGCATAGCTCTATGGGCGTGCATAGCTAATACAATGCTGCAGCATAACTTTTGTGGGTTAGGATAGCTTCGATTGGTTAGCTTAGCTTCCACAGGCTAGAATGGCCAACACAGTACTGCATTCATGTTACAAGGCGCAAAAACACGGACACAAGAGAGAAAGAGACAAACAGGCGCCACTCACAACTATATTTGAAAAGTGCAGAAAGAAAGGAATACAATCCTCGTCATCTTCATCTCGTCCACGCACGCGCTTAGCCATGTGACATACGCTTATCGCCCAATTTACAAAAACTTATCAAATAATCTAACCTCGGCATTATAGAGTGCAACAGATGTGTCACTTACGCATTGTGCACCCCTTTCTCTAATGAAATACGCCTCTAATAACTCGCGCGCTTTTTGGCACTTGCCTCTGCCCAGAATTGCTGTCTCAGAAAGACGTGGCTCACACCGGCATTTGCTGCAGTGTTCAGGCAAATGTGCCCCATCATTCTTCTTTAAATTTTGCGTGTGCTCCCTTAGTCGGTCGTTCGCACACCTGCCCGTCTGTCCTACGTAGGACTTCCCACACGTAAAAGGGATTTCATAAACCACCCCCGTGGCACAACCAACATATGGCCTGGCATGTTTTGTGGTACAGCCTTGCCTCTTACCGCTGCCACCGGTGATACGAGAGCATAGTTGGCCGAGTTTGCTCGGTGCTGAGAACACGAGCGGCACTCCAAAGCGGTTCGCCACCTTCTTGAGGTTGTGCGACATTCTGTGCACATACGGTACCACCTCAGGTCTCATTCGACACCGCGCCGTTTTCGCCTTTGTGCACCCCTTTTTCTACAGTAGTTGTTCTACAGTACTGCATGATAGCTTTCACGGGCTAGCGTAGCTTCTATAGTGCTGTAGTGTAGCTTCCAAGACTAGAATAGCTTTCGAGACAATAGTTTATATAGTGCTGTAGTATAGTTCCCACAGGCTAGCATAGCTTATGCAGTGCTGCAGCATACCTTCTATGGAGTCGCATAGTCTACACTGACTAGAATAGTTTCAATAGTGCTGCAGCATAGCTTCCACAGTGAGGCTAGTGCATAAACGTGGCTCCTGCGAGCCACGTTTATGCGCACCTCGTTGAGGATGGCACGCGTTTGTTTCAAGGAAATTGCGTTCATCGTCCTTGTTGAGGAGCCGGCGGTGCCGGTACTCCCCATCGTTGTGTGGCGATCATTCGCCGAATCTGTACTTGAGCGAAGTTAGTCTTTTGCACAAGAGTGACCACACCGATCCGCGACGCCAACACAGAACACGAAGCAAGCAAAGGAGCGTGCATGGCACGGAGTTCACGCTCAAGCTCACTTCTCGTTGATATAGTGGGCCTAGATTTAAGAACGGTGGCAACCGCTCGATCGGGGTCACATGGTCATACCTGCCAACTCTTCCGAATTTTTCGTAAAATGTACGAATTGGGAGTAATTTTACGATTTTACGAATCTTGCTTCAAATCTTACGAAAAAATAATTTTTTTAATTTTTTTTATTTTTTATTTATTTTTTTGTCGTTTTTGTAACTCCATTGTTGGCGGTATCTTGCACCGCCACAAGAAGAAGATAGGTACCGTCTGCGGCAGTGTCGTGATTTTTACTATCCGTCTATCCGGTGGCCACGAATCGAAAACCAATCCAAAGCCCAAAGCCTTTGTTCGTGTGTTCGGCGGTGCACGGGTGCACGTTGGTTCGGCATGCTCAGACGTTGTTGGGCCTCGTTGCATTGGCCAGTTTCGAGGCGAGAAGTACGGCGTCTGTGTTTGTTGCACGTGTAACGGAAGCATTCTCCTGGTCACTGTGGCTTTGCCGGCGCAATGCCGAACTCCAAACCTCAAAAGAGGTACTTTTAGGTGTCTACACGTCGAAATTTCCGTGCTTCGTGCCGCCCGAAAAGCGAGAGAAGTTTGGATTCTGTAGCACGTGCACGTGTGATGTAAGCGTTTTGCACGCTGGCCAGGCTGACATTCAGCTGCACATCGCTTCGCGTCACCCCCCCCCCCCCCCCCCCCGCCGCCGCGGCTGCAGAACTTTTACGAATTTGAAAGTCCACAGGTTGGCAGGTATGCATGGTTTGTGGGCTGCGTTTGCACTATGAGCTGGAGCATGCAAGGAGTCAAAACTCGCAAGCGATCACCTTCTGTAAACCTGTCCCCCTCTCCGCCCAGTTTCCTAGCCACGCTGGCCATGCTACAACCAAATGCAGGCTTGCTTGCGCCAATTTGCCCAGGAGGCGTCTGCCCTTAAATTGCAAGCGCTCTCGATGGTTGGAGTTGCTTCCTCTCTTAAACCTAGGCTCCCTCCGTCATCTCCGCCTGTTTGTTGCTAGCGCGCCGAACGCCCCTCTCCGCGTGTGACGCGGAAAAGCAGCTTCCCAGATGAGGAGTGGGGAGCAAGCAAGGATGCAGAGGCTGCTGCCAGCGGCCTTTGCAGCCTCGTCTGCGGCCCGTTCTGGGTGGCTGCTCAGCCACAGCAGCAAAGTGTGGCGGTCTGAGACTTAATAAACTTTCTGAATTTTATGATTTTTTAAATCATCAGAAAATATCTCTTCACTATATCTGCGAGAGCCGCTCAGTTTCCTTGGCTACAAAACTTTTCAACACATGCATTGAAAAGGTACAAACGGGAATGGGAAATCGTGACTTCGCTGTAGCCGCTATTTCGTTATAACCAGTCTCGACAGTAATTTGCGCCGTTCGGCCCCACATATTCTGGGGCTTTGTCGGCCACCATCTTCTCGTGGAAAATTTTTGAAATATCGATTATTACTTTTGAACGAGGTAACGGTTTTTTCTGAAACATTAGCATCTGGTCTGGACCACTAGCGCTATATTTGGGTGGGGACTGAGCATTTGGCAATGCATAGTTAATATTTGTGACTAAAAGAACACCGAATGTTGTGAGGGGACGCTCTGTAGAAGTAACTGGGCTAGGGGTACAGATAAATTTTAAAACGGTGCAGAAGAGAAGGGGAACCAAAGAAAAAGCTCCTGCCCCAGGTTGCTGTGCACTCTGTTCTATACTGAATATAGAGCGACGTGTTTAGGGCAAACATCCACAGTGGACTGTTGAGGGGGGGGGGGGGTGACGATTGTGTGCTGTTGTTGACGATCCCGTGCATCTGTTGTGCCTTGCAGTGAAGCTGTACCAGGTGATAGAGACGGAGAAGACGCTGTACCTGGTGATGGAGTATGCCAGCGGGGGTGGGTGTCCCTGTAGCCCTTCCCGGGGAAGGAGGTGCTCACCCGTTTTCCTCTGCAGGGGAGGTGTTCGACTACCTGGTGGCCCACGGCAGGATGAAAGAGAAGGAGGCCAGGGCAAAGTTTAGGCAGGTGGGTGGCCCACACTGGATCCCCCCCCTCGGGCCTCTCTATCCCTCCCTTGTTTCGATGGGCCACAGCAACACCTCCTGGATAGCGAGGACGTAATGCTTTTGTTTATGACTTTGCTTATAAAAGGCCAGCTTTTTTCCCCCGTGTAAACACTATTTTGAAGGGTCTGTCTGAGCTGCCCGTGGATGCGTGACCACGAGCCTGACACTCATTCGTTATTGTTTACAAGCTCCGTAGATGGGACACTGGCTCTCGCAGCAAGCTGCTGAGTTCAGCGGGCAAGTTTTCCCGCTAAATTTAGTTGCCATTTGACGCGGCTAATTGCAGTCCGCGACGTGACGTCGTGCTGCCAGTTACGGTGCCACCCGAGATCGCGCAACCGCCACTCTGCTAAATTAGGTGGGCAGTCCCCACCTGCCAAAATTGCCATTTGTGTAACTCATTTTCTTGACGTCCAAAAGGCCAAAACCAGCTTTTATAATTAGAGAGAGAGAGGTCCCGGAGTCTACGTTTTGCATATTTCCAACTTCAAATGTAGGATTGAGGCGATTACATTTTTTCTTTCGAAACGTAGTCGTCGTATCACTTTTGTCCATTGCCCAAACTGTTTGGATGACGAACGATTGGGCTGTCCATGTTTGTTTCCGCACAGTTCCTTCCTGACCACGCACATGCATTTGAATCGCGCAGTTGATGTGCCCCCCGGACTCTGCGAGTGTCCAAGTGCCCGTTGCGTATCTCGAGCCCGACAGGGTGGAAAGTGCGCGGTCGCTAATCGCCGGCCCGAGTTGAGTGTTCTCCGGCAGAGAGGCCTCCGAGTGTTGCACTATCTTCCGCATTATTGATAAGTCTTACTGCCGCTCGGGCGTCGGCTTATCTCCCATTCTTTTGGCTGCTTTGTGCATTTCTCTAATAAGGGCTACATCCAGTTGTAGGGGTTTCACCAAACGTTCTACTTCTAAAATCTCCGTGAGGCGTTTTGTTTCTTCGAACGCGTCTTAGATTTTTTTCATTTACCGGGACAAAAAAAAAAAAAAAAAAAAAAAAAGGAGCAGGACGTGCAACCTGGAATAAGTACAAAAAGAAAAAAAGAAAGGAGGCATAACAAAAATAAATGACATTTCACAGTGGAACACTAGTGGTATGGCGAGAACAAAACAATGTTTTCTGCCGTACTGGAAGTTCCACAATTCAAATTGGGGGTATGTGGAAAAGGCCTGTAGAGACCTTGTTCTAGGGGAAGATCTAAAATAAATGTCACGCGCATAGAAATTTTTAGTGGCACAGTTTGTCTCCTTTTTTTTTTTTCGAGAACATCGTCGTCACTGAGAAAACATTAGAATTGAGTTGTCTCATTGCTGCACATGTATGTATCTGAGAGGATTCGATTCTGCAATACTTTTCTCACGTTGTGTCGTGAGAGTTGTCAGTTACCGTTGCTCCCTTATCTTGGGACCATTGATATGTTTTTTATGGGTCCAAGTCATTTGGTCTGGGGACACTCCAAGGTTGATACTTGAAGTGGAACTTAAAAGGGTACTTCACTCTCTGAATAGACTTTTACACTCAACCACCCGGGTGAGGGGCCACCGCAAGAAGACGACAAAAGCTGCGTCTTGTTCGAGGTTTTCTTTACAGTCTGCAGCCAGTTCTTTTAGCTCGACGAATTTACTCAAAAGTTGGAATAATCAGGCGGTTAAAAAATGCAGTTCAGGTGGGGTATTAAATTCCCACAAATTTTTGCTTGGTGTCGTCCCCTTTCCACTTCTTTGCTTGTTGCAACTTTCTCCTCTTCTCGTCGTGCTCCGTTTGCCACTTTTTGTCCTCGTTGAAATCTCGCTGGTGCAGTGCTGCTTAGAGGCCACATTCTGTCAGCTGAGATCACTTCATTGCTAGAGCTCTTGGCAGAAGAACGGTTTGAAAGCAAATTCTACGAAAATGGCAGCATACCGATGGCCGTCGCAGCCGTGGTGAGTGGATGGCAGGGATGGCTACGACAGCTATCGGGTGACGACGAAACTGGACCCTCACTGTTCGCGACTCCAAAGACCTATAGGGGGCGCCACCACCAAACAAACATGGCGGCTGAGTCCAGGTTGCGTCGGCTCGGCCGGGCCGCCTGAACAGGTGGCGCGTTCAGTTTAACAGATTTTCTTTTGTTTAATGCCCAATTTTATAGGTATTTGAACTTGGACGGTTAAGTGTAGCCAGTGCACATAAACTTGCAAAACACAGTTTTGTTTTCCCGGTGTTTCTTGTTATTTTCATGTCACTTTCGTTTCTGAGATTTCATTCAAAACCGAAACTATGGGCTCCGGAGAGAGACGGTAATAGACTAATCAGTTTTGATTGTCTAAGGAAAGCATCGATGGCTACAGAATTGTTCTATCGAGAGTAATATTCAGCCAACTCGCATGCCTGGACCATGCGACTTATCTGCCTGCGGAATCGAGCTTTTGTGCGTATCCGCGTTTAAGAAACAGCTCCAGTCGTCTGCTCGGTCAACAACACAGACTGCAGAAAAATTACAAAAATGAAGCACGCGCTTCTTGGGCTAAGGAGCATGTTAACCCGCTGGCGCTTCACTAAGCAGCTGATACTCGTATTTCAATTCAGGTTTTAGTAGCAATCGAGAAGTCATTTTGACGAGCGGGTTATGTATTATATTATGTACTATGGTCCCACTAAAGCGATATTAGTATATTCTTCGGGTTGAAATATGAGCTTAGTTGACTAGCTATTAGGTGAACTGCTGAATAAAAGTATATTTGACAGACAGAGAGATACTACTTAAACTTAGCCAAATGGTTCTAGCCGGTAGCACGGAGACAAACTGAAGAGAGTCTTCATCGTAGATTCACGCAGAACCTTTCTGCATTGAACTTTGCTTCGAACCCTGAACGGAGATAATGAGTTTTTTGTGGCCGGTCAATTTGACCAATGTAGACGTATATTGCTGCTGGCTTCGACGGGGCTATAATATAAATATTGGAGGCACGATAGATCATAATGCCGTGACAGCTTCTAACTTTGCGAGACACGTCCCCCACCTTTTGAAAACAGATAATTTCCCTCATTAATCATATGCAGCGAGCAGGTTTTCCTGAATCAAGTAATTGCGAAATCAGCCCAACTCCTTTAGTGTGGTCCAGAGGCTTTTTCAGCGAAAAGCAGCCAAGATGAATAGACAATGCACCAACCGGCGTGGGTGGCTCAATTTTCAAGATAATCAAACACAACCAAACTCAAGAAAAGCAGCTATCGAACCTTTCCATTCACTTGACTGGAACATTGATGTTTCCTCCAGTGAAATGCCTCGTCTGTCGTCCTCAGTCCACTGTTCTACATCCTTATAAAGAAACCACTTATCAGTTACCGAGCAGTCGTCCCTTTGAATGTGATTCAAGGCAGACGAGAAATTAAAAAGGTTTTCCGTGATTCCTCCTTATCCAAGAAATTGAAAGCATGCGGTCGTGTGTTGTGGAGTGAATGGGCTTTCAAACACGTGATGGAAGGAAACAACCTGCTGAGGCTTCACCGCACTAATGAGCACTCGGGCGAACTTAAGAAATTTCCGGGCCTTGGTCAAATTACACATTGCTCGCCACCGCTCTGGCAACACGTGTCCGCGAAAGCCACCAGAGACGCGGAGGGGTGCGGAGCAACCTGGTCCGGCTGGTTCTTGGTTTTCCCGCTTGGTGGCGTCCGTTTTGCTGGAGTCGCGATTAGGCCCAATCCACCTTCTTCTCCATGTAGGGAGTGCTATAGAGTCTACAAGTCTAAACCAAAATAGCGACGGCTCTGTTCGTGGCGGCTTGGTGGGTACAAGCCTTACTAACCAAGTAAAAAAAATTTTGACACGTTACGGTGTCCGAAATGCTGGTTTCTCTTCCACATTAAGTTCTATAGTGGGGTGTGTCGGTGACGGTCTTACAAAGACATCCAAACATTCGAGCTAGTCCGAAGTTTTGGCATCCGAAAAATTAACCGGCGACAGTATTGCAGTTAACAGGTTCTTTGGGCATCCTTAAGGGCTTCACGAGCGTTGGAAGTTTCTCAATCATCCGTATGCCTGGGAAAAGTTTCTCTTTAGCTGAACTATTGAAGCGTGGGCCAGGCCATGCATTGACATACGTATTGCTATCAGTCACTTTTTTGCATTGTCTCCTATAATTATACGGAACATTTATGAACGAAGTTCATTTATATGCTAAAGTCACTTAAAAAAAAAATTTCTGTATGGATGAAGCATCGACTGAGGCCCTGGTCTTGAGTGCGTGCTTGTCTCTCTTCCCCCGCAGATTGTTTCGGCAGTGCAGTATTGTCATCAAAAGAGGATAATCCATAGGGACCTGAAGGTGAGGGATCTCCTCTCGAGAAACCGAACGGCGGCCATTTTTGGCGGCCGTCACAAAGGGGCGTGGTCTTCTCTCGGCAGGCGGAGAACCTGCTGCTGGACGGAGAGATGAACATAAAGATAGCGGACTTTGGATTTAGCAACGAATTTGTGCCCGGCATGAAGCTGGACACGTTTTGCGGGAGCCCACCCTACGCGGCACCCGAACTCTTCCAGGGTGAGCGCACGTTTGTATTCTGCTTCTCTTCCGCTTGCACCGGATGCTCAAGCTTTTTGAGATTGTTAGTCCTAGTCCTTTGTGTCTCTGTTCTTTCGTAATAAAACCAGCTGAACCTATATAGAAATAGGCGAGGAAGCGGAAAAAATTGTTCGTCCAGCATTTGCCCGTGCCTCTCAGTTTCCTTGCCTTTCTCAATATATACTTGGCTAGTTCCATCCCCAAGATTGACTCGGCTTGCTTGGCTCCGAACTGTAGTCTTATTCTTTTGAATCAAAGGGCCCGGTGTTTCTTTCTTTTTACTCGAGCAATGCCGGAACTCTGAGCGTGTAGTTAAAATTTAGCCGGGAGTTTTCTCCGTCGTGTTGCGCTTACAAATAATGAGACCGCTCCCACACTCCCAACCAATCGAGCGATCTGATGAAGAGAGGTTGGTTTACCGACGGATGGCTGTAGCGGCATTGCGTGCCCATGTTGAAGGCGCTTCGCTAAATTTGAACTTTTGCAATGCTGGTTTTTGTAGTAGAGGTTCTGCTTGCTGCCCCGTGCTCGCCGGTGCCAAATTGTAATTGGTCTTTGTACGTCGTGGAGGCAGCTTTTTTTACTTTTGGATGAATGGGAGGAAGGGGACAGAAATTTGTGCCCCACTTCTTTTATTCCATTCACGTTTTGTTTTCACGAACGCACCTATTATTTCGTTGGGAACCTTTTGCAGCCTGGCAAGCCTCCTCAGGATTACGAGGCTCTCAAAACTGATAGGGCGCTTGAAGTGACGGAAAAGATGCGGGCGAGCTGGTGAACTTCTGAGGCCGTGAATGGCGGGGGGTCGTTTATTATTTGTTTATTTACCGATACTGTTGAGTTTCCCCCGAAGGCCATTACAGGAGAGGTTGATAAACACACAATTGCACCGAGCTTGGGACAAACAAAACAAGCTCAGAAAGTTGTGCAAAGTTGTCAGTTCTAAAAGGCATGTAAACCACTAAAAATTTCCAGATTGTTTTTAAAAATTGGCACCGGTAATTACGTTCAATCTTTTTAAACGGATGTTCCAATGGAGAATCAAAATGATGCACGTTAGAAATTGTATGTGTACGCTAGTTGTATGCGAATGCCTCGAGTGCCTCGGTATTGTGCCGGTAGCTTCGGTTGCATGCCAAACTATCGACACGGCACGCCTAAAGGTCGGTAGTTTGACCTCCTCGTGAACCGGGGAAGGGTAAACGAACATTGCAGCCGAACCCGAGACCTCCGTGACCGTCTTCCCCCTTTTACGGCAATAACTGCTATCACGGCCACATTGGCAGCAACGTTGTGCCGGGCAGAAAACTCCGGGACCTTCTGGCAACTGACGTAACCCCGGATTCGTCGAGCACGCAGAAATAAAACACGAGGCAGGAGCCTTAGAGAGTATGTAAAAACACACTGAAAAAAGAAGAAAATGCTCGGAGCCACAACAGCATCTGTTTTGTTGTTGCTCAGTTAATTGGAGTCATACTTTTAATTGGGTCATCAAATCATGTGACCATGTGCAACCAGAGTAGTTTGCCCTTGAGTCGAGAAACTGCGGTGCTCGGTGGTGCCTGCCTGATTTTTTAATCTTGAGCTGGAACGCCGCCTTGTATGTGTAGCATTCCCTTTCCTACACGCTTGAGTGACCACGAGGCGCTCTTTGCGTGCGATGGAGTAAATGAAAGGTGGACACGCGTAAAAGTGACTTACTATGCGCACTGATCGAAGTGCTGCGCCATTTCCGCCAAATTGTGTCATGCCTGCTACATCTTGTGCCAGTACGCCATTTTGGCTGAGATTTTTGCCACACCTGTTCCAAAATGGGCTTGAAGCAAAAAGAAAAAAAAAATAGTTTAAGGGCTGATTTTTATATTCAGAGAAGTGACAAGAGATGGGTACAACTATGCTTAGGTTAGAGCGCAGTCGAAGGTTTGAACATATACAATAACGAACAGGCATACTAAAGGCGTGATTCACGGGACATTTCTTGGGCTCGATTGGTTTGGCCGATGAAAGAATGAGTACAGGGGGATGATGAAAGCAACGATGTGGCATTTTTATTCCGTTTAATTGGTCCCATTGGCTCGTAGCGTTGGCTTAAGGTGAAGTATAGAGACTGCTTTTCGACCCCTCTCGCCGGTTCATGCGCTGATCGGTCGATCGCCGACATCGTCTGAATTTTTAGACTGTGTCGGCGACGTCGGTAACTCCAAGTCGCGAGAAATCTTTGCAAGAAAACTAAGATGGTGGCTAGTGTGATAAGTCACTTGGCTGACATGTCTATCACGTGCCTTCCTGCCTTGGTTGCAGACTGTGTACCGTGGCACCTGCTCCGCTTGCATCAACCTTCACCACCTCTCACCAGCCCGTCGAGCTTCGCCGCTTTGCACCAAAGTGCTGGAAGCAGCGGCTGGCCTGGGGTAGCGGCTGCTTAGCGTGATAGGCATGCTAATAGTGCTCCGGGTTATTACGGGTCGACCTTTGTCTAGACTGTAGGTTGATCTCTAATTAACAAGAAAGGGAGAGAAGGAAGAGAACACGGGTCTATATTTGAATAAATACGGTGGTCGGGGTAGTTCCTGTACAGCCGTCTTTCAAAAGAGCAGCAAACTTTGATTTAACTCTGGTTCCAGCACCGCAAAAGAGCAGTCACCTTTACAAAACGAGTCTTTGATAATATTTGTGGGCGATTGGTTTTTTTTTTTTTTTGCACTTTAATCGAAGTCTTCAGTTTTGTAGGTTCGTAGCACTTGTGGGACACGTTTTTTTGGTAGGTGTTAGCGGATGGGGTGCTTCTTGCTGGCACTTTATAGGAATTATATTTACAGGCTGTATCAACTACCGCGCTTAAAATGAGGAGGGAAGAGAGGCTTTATCCCAGCTAAGATGTTGCACTATGATTCCTTTTTTCAACCATTTTTCGTACCCATGTAAATAGAATGCCTTATTTCTAAAAAAAAATGGCCGTGTTCCTTTTGCTCCCTGTCTCTTCTTATTTCAAAGGGTACTGTCGAGACCGGTCATAACGAAGTCAACGGTAATCGGAAATCAGTTCGCTATATCCGCTATTTCGTTGTAACCGACTTCGGTTATAACGAAGTGCAAAAGGGAATGGGAAGTCATGATCGCTTCGCTGTAGCCGCTATTTCGTTATAACTAACTTTGTTATAGCCGGTCTCAACAGTAATAAGTAATATGCTCCTGTATCGAAAAGAACCCTCAGTCATTATTATAGATGAATGGATGAACTCTGTTAGAGATGCAATCACTTTTTTACTTTTCAAGCGATGCGCTAGCGGATGTTGGGATCAGCTTCACAAGCATCAGTGACTGCTCCAAACCCATATTTTGCCCGCTACAGAACCCGCTACCAAAGGTGAAATGCCGCTTCCATCACTGTGTGCGCAATGACAGTTATGGTTACTGACTGAGAGCAGTAGCTTTAGTCGGTCCCTCTCAAACTTCCTATTTTCGACGATACTTTGTCTCATGCATCTAAACAATGACAGGAGGCGTGCCGGAGGCCAGGTGTTCCAAAGACGCGCCCTTGTTGGCGACCATATCGCCGTCACTTCTTCGGACACTTTGGCAAAAAGCTGCCCATCTTTTTTCGTTCCCCGGTGTCCGGGCTTGAGCGGGGTGCTGAGCGCCTCCCCCGTGGACTGCAGGCAAGAAGTACGATGGGCCTGAGGTGGACGTGTGGAGCCTGGGCGTGATCCTGTACACGCTAGTCAGCGGGTCCCTGCCATTCGACGGGGCCAACCTGAAGGAGCTGCGGGAGCGGGTGCTGCGGGGCAAGTACCGCATCCCCTTCTACATGTCTACCGACTGCGAGAACCTGCTCAAGAAGTTCCTGGTGCTGAACCCGGCCAAGAGGGCCACCCTCGAGGTGAGGACCCCCCTTCTCCGCCGACGGTCGGCCCTTGTTTGTCCATTCATTGCAGAATGTGTCTTGTGGGTCGTTTCTACGAGAAAATATACTCCCGAATGGGTGTCATGAAGGTACGTCGTGGACGTGCGCCTGGAACGAACGCCGGGATAGGGCGCCACGAATGATGCTGGGAGTGCTACGCGATGTTCGAGTCCTATATAAAGCTGACAAAGGTCTTTGTAAAACTAATGGAAAAACGACACCCTGGCGGGGCTTAAACTCTGGTTGGTACGGTGGCTGTCGGTCACCATAAGCACTAAGCTGTGCGCACAGCTGCTCTGGATCACAGAACGATTTTATTTGAATGCAAACGTGCTGGTGAGGAGTGCATGTTTAAAAAAAAAATGTGATAAAATAAGAACAAAAATATATGCCTAAAAATAAATGAAACGGATCTTAAAAAGAACAAAAAATCCAGCACAAAACGAAACAGTGTGCTTTGTGCAAGGCACTTTATGCGCTTTCTCGTCTTTGTTAGCACAATCGAACCTGTAAACATTTTTTTTTTGGATGGATTTATTTATTTTTTGAAATAGTTGTTGACAGGATGGCAATGGCGGGACGTCTTTTGGGGATGCCTGGCCTCTAACACACTCTCTTTGCCTTTTGGCACGCACTTGGCCGCATTTGCATGCTCCAAGTACAACGTCCGGAATGCTTTTTCGGTGTCCCATTTCTCCCATACATCAAAAGCGGTCCCAAAGCGGCAACAAACAGCATCGTGTCGTCCGACGTAGCGACCCCGGCGGACGAGCAAACAGTAGCGTAGCCGTCGTCGCAACGTACGAGCTCCCGGCTGCCGAAGGTTCCGTGGGCCTTCCAGCCGGAAAACGACCCGCACCAGAGCAGGCGCCTTTTACGTCCGGCAACAACATGATGCTCGTACGGCGTCGTCGGGCAGAAATTTGAGGGACCGGCGTTTAAGACGCAGTAAACGCACCGGCCAGAGGCGCGTTCTGGACACCTTAGTTCAATCTCGGGACTATGCGGTTCGGAGACTGGAAGCCCGCGCTCGATGCAGGACAGTTCTGTTGGTAATTATAGCGGTATGGACGTCGACTGTTACGACCAGATAAGGTGCCTCCGTTTCCTGTGTGAGCACGGACCATCCACTTTTAGAGAAAAGGCGCTCTGGGGCAGCTTGGAGCTCGCTCGGAACAGTCACTTTTTTGTGCTTGCGTCGGAGCGACACCTCCTCTACTGGGGGACGGGCTCGGAACCCGGTCGCTGGAGTCACAGAATGGCGGCGGTCAGAGAGCTCTTTTTGCACAGGTCTATGCGAGGCGTGGGTTGGAGGGATCTTGTAGGGGCAGTAGCTGCGGTTGGACGGCCCTTCGGTGGCGGTCGTGCTTCTTTAGAACTTCCCATGTGTCCTTCCCGCAGGTGATAATGAAGGACAAGTGGATGAACATTGGCTACGAGGAAGACGAGCTGAAGCCCTACCTGGAACCCGAGACGGACTTTGGGGACTCCAAAAGGATAGGTGAGGCCCTACCCGCCCGTCCCTGTGGCTTGTATGCCACCTCTCTGGCAGTCTGTCCCGGAAAAGTTGCGGTTGCTGGGCTTTCCTCCACTCCCTCCGGTTAGGTTTGGCTGTGGCTGCCTCGTACGCTGTTGGCATGAACGCGAATGCAATGTTTGAAGCACTGTTAAGATTAACCCTTCATTAGTGATTTTATCAGACATACAAGTTCAGTGATCTATGTGTGACTAGCAACTATTAAAACGAAAGATCACTTAAAAATTTCTTAGACCTATGTTAAAATTCTGCTGTCAACATTCTATGCTTCTCACATTTAGCTACATGCAACATTACTAAAACACTCAGTTGGGAAACTGCCATAGAGACTTATCTGAAGGAGTGGCCTCGAGAACCGAGCTAATGACTAACACCAACGCCACCATTCCTACCACAGCGGTCACTCGAGGAACTGTATGTCGCTTCTATTTTGGCTTTAATCGGCCATTTTGGAGCCGAAACAGATACCGCGGAAGAGGTTACGGGGGTGCCACCCCCGTCTCCCCAGCGGATGCGCCGCGTCCTACTACCGAAATTAAAATGCACCTAGGTCGGGACGCGCTACCTGAAAGGCCCGCTGAGGCATGGTTGTATAAAAACAAAATTAATTGTGCCGCAAAACCCTGCAAACTAAAGATTTTAAAAACATCATGCACCCATCATTTTGTACTAAACTCCAATAAATTTCATACAAAAAGAGTCTTTTCCCTTTGTTTTTATGCAAAAAATATGCTATGTAAAAGCTCAAAGTGATTACAGTACAGACAAATGATAAAGAGTGGCGCTGTTGTCGTATTTAGCTCGGTCTCGGTGGACGCCAGCGGCCCAGGTTTCGACGGCGAGTTTCCCAACTGACTGTTCTAGTAACATTGGCTACATGTTTCAGGAAAAGTCTATCTGCTCTAGATATTAGCATGTGCCTCCTGCAAACTTTAAACAAGTCCAAAAATTGTGTTTTGTGGATACAGTCTTTTAGAGTTAACATCAGTGGTCATTAAGCCTGCGTAGACATTACAAGTTGATCGATAGCTCAAATATTCATCCGTGATAATAGAAGCTTGGTAGATTCAGGAAAGCAACAGCTATAGAGGTCAACCTTGCCATTTCTGAAAGAATGGAGTATTTTTTGCTTCCCAAGGCCCATGTGCCCCCTTAAAGTGATTTTACTGCAGTTGCTTAGAGTGTGACTTGCATCTAAGCCATTTCCGTGCGACTGTTGTTATTTTCAGATTGCTTAAATGTGGATGAAAGGATAAACCTCGCTTTGGCCCAGGCTCTGGAGTTTCACTCTTGTTCCACCGAAATCCTATCTTAGTTTCAAAAGCCCTCGATTTGTTTGAGATTTTAATTTTGGAGTCCTCTCGTGCCGGCGAACCAGATGGTGCGACAGTGCACGGATGCATGTGTGGGAGCCGCCTTGGTTGTTTCATTGCCCCCACTGCTTCCCGACTGGTTGCACACACCCGCGTGTCCATCAGCACGGGGCTTTCGGCCGTACAATCGGAGACGACAAATGCCTTTTGTACGAAGGTTCATGTTGAGTGAGAAGTGTAGGCCATTTTCCTATGGCCTCGAGATATTAACTCGAGCACTGGAGCAAATCCCAACTAATGAAATGCACGACCTTGCAAGCTGCGATTGACTGCAGATACAAAATTGTGAGTTGCGAAGTAATGATTTGGAAATGGGTGCTTGGGTCGACAGCCGAAGTAACCGCAATGTGTCCCGAGCCCTTGCTGCGCTTACAACTTTTTTTGTGCACATCAGCCAAACAGTAGGTGTCTCGAAAAGGCAAAGTTGGAGGTGTGGCAGTTCCTAATGCGAAAACATTAACTGTCCCATAAAGCGAAGCTGCCGGCCTCTGTAGTCATCGCCTGTAGCAGCGAGAAAAAAAAACGGCACCTAAAGCCCCATTGGCTGCGCCATGTCAGATGCGCTGTCACGAATGCTCGTGTGGCCATTAAAGGTGAAAGTCCCTCGAAAATAAAATGCAAAGAAGAGCGCAGCTACACAATGCTTCGTCACGGAAGCCGTCGTGAAGCCGGCAAATTTTGCCGTGCCTGCGCAGCGGGGAAGACTGGTGGCACCGCCCAAGTGCAAAAGGAAGACGTGGCGCGCTGCTTGTAAGAATTCACTGCGTGTAGGAATGCTTTTGCATTCATACATGTAAGCAATCTGAAATTTGTCTGCCGATTTTTTTTTTTCACATCTATCGTATGTATTGCATAGAGTATAGTAGCATACACCTTACGAGAGGGTTCCTTGCAGCTTTACGAGAGGCAGACACGCTGAAACTGCTGTGGTTACTCGGTGCTATCGACACGGCGCGGATTTTGCACTCTCCGCGTTATAAGTAGGGTGTGTACTTTCCGGTGTTTATTTGTGAGAAAAATCGGTGGATGTTTTTCGGTGTTTATTTGTTTTCAAAACACCGGTGTATTTCGGTGGAACGTCTCGCGACAAGGCTGAAATCGGTGAATATCGGTGAAAAAAGCGATTGATCACATACAGAGAGTTCCGATTTTATTCACATAGTTCATACACTTCTTCTCTAGGAAGCAACTATTTCTCACACTTGGTTATTATAGTAGATGCAAGCATACTTTCATGCTTGCATCTACACGCAACGAACGTGCTGCCGTCGTGGCAGCACGTTCCTTGCGGTTCGCAACCCGCAATTATGAAAACGCACTCCTGTACGACACGGACGTTGGCAGTGTCTTCCAGGAACCACAGCAACCTCTGAATACATGGCTTGCACCGACATCACTTGGCCAGACACAATGAGGAAAAAACACGTGAGAGCCTACCCTCCACTGTGTTAATTTTTCCACGAAAGGGGGCCATGGGAGACACAATAGGGGAAAGGCGTATGAGAGCTTAGCTTCCACTGCGTTCACTAGACGCTTTTGACTCCCAGAAAGGAGGGTGGACTGACGCCACCTGCAAGCCATGTATAAACACTGGAAAAATGCAGGATCCGCGAGATAACACGTTTGACGAACCTCTACGGGGAAAGGGTTTCGCTAGGTCAAAAACTAGCAACGACCGGTGTTTTTCGGTTTTAACCAGGGCGAAAATATCCAACCACCGGTGTTTTTCGGTTTTAACCGGTTTTATATTTTCGTCACCGACGGATGTTTATCGGTGTTTTTCGGTTAAAACCGGAAAATGCACTCCCTAGTTATAAGGGTGCTCCACTGCATGCGACCCTGTATTTTCCCCCTTACGCACGACGCAGTGCCGACTCGGAGCCGAGTTGGCATTGACGGCGGCGCAGATGCGGTGGTGACCGCGTCGTCTCTGCCACGAGGCATGCGTAAACTGGCGTCTAGGTACCTTGGGTCGGCATGTTTCTTGCCCCTTCCTCGGTGACTGTCCGGTGACGTTTGAATGCTGCTTTTCCACCTAAAAAATGTTCTCAGTTTTCCTCCAAGTCCGACCGCAGCTGGCACTACGATTCGAGCGGCGCCGTCGTCGTGTTGTTTGTTGCCTTCGTGCGTTTGCTGTTGCCAGTGAAATCCAGTTGCACGCAATGAATGCGCCGCGATCCTGCGCATTTTTCTGCGCGTGACCGGTTTTGCCGGCGACTGGAAACCCGCGAAGCCGAGTGCTGCGACGACGCTCCTTTGGCGCCGCCCGATTTCCTCGGTCGGATGGTGGCGTCGACTGCGGTTGTACTGGGAGCAAAACGGGGCGTGGCTGCGTGTGACCCCCGTGTGGCAAGAGTGTGACTAACAGGCGGCCCTTCTCTCCCGCTGCCGGCCCCGGCGGCCTCCCCCCGACCCCTCCCCCCTCCCGCGTGGGCGGCGGTGCAGCTGTGTCCTCGCGCGCAGAGATCCTCATGTCGATGGGATACAGTCGGGACGAGATAGAGGACTCCCTGCGCAACAGGAAGTACGACGACATCATGGCCAACTACCTGTTGCTCGGAAAGCGGACCACCGAGGTGGGTGCTCTCTTCCTCTCTCGCGGGGAGGTGCCTCCAGACGCTTCCTTGATGCTCGTGTCCCACTAGAGCGACAGACAGAGACAAAAGACAGCGACAAGCCTCAAACCCATGCAGCATGCTGGCGATGGTACCTTTGGCAGGTGTTTAGTCGTTCGGTGCTCGTGAAGTGAGCACGAGCAATTGCAAGCCTGCCAAAGATACCCTCGCGTGCATGATGTACGTGTTTGAGCATAGCCTCTTATTTTACAAAGCCACTCATATCGCGAAATACTCTGGTTTGAGGCTTGTCGTTGTCTTTTGTTTCTGTATGTCGCTCTAGTGGGACACGGGCTTGACCGGTGCATTGGGCGTCCCATTCGCCCACGCGTTGAAAGCGGTCGCGAGAGCCGGCACGTTCTGCCGTCGGATGCTGCGGTCCCGGAGGTCGGTTGTAGAAGTTCCGGCAGAAGGCACGAGCAAACGCAGGCGTTGTTGCGGCGTCCCGGCTCCCAGCGGCAGAATCTTCTCCGTACCGTCGAGCTGGGGCCCTAATCTGGGCACTTAGCGAAGAAGTCTCTGAGAAATCCGGCGTTTAAGATTGGCCGGCGCCAAGGTCAAGTGCAGCGTTGACCAATCACGGCCGCCAGATTTCTCGCCGACTTTCTCGCCAAGTGCAGTCTTGGGTAAGTTACTTTTAAAAAGTAATTCGTTACAGTTACAGTTACTTTCAGAAAAAAAGTAGTAAAGTTACCGTTACAGTTACCGCAACAAAAAGGTAACTCGTTACAGTTACAGTTACTTTTAAAAAGTAACGACGTTACTTTTCAGTTACTTGTTCTATAACACAAAAAAAAATTAGGAAAAACTAGAAAACGCTTTTCACCAAGTTTATTTGCATAAAATTAAAAAGTGTTCTTTTTACTTCGTATTATAAGTTAGCAGCAGTTGCTTCCCGAAATTAGTTTCTGAAAGTTTCCCTTGTTTGATAACAAACAAGTTCCTGCCCTTGTTGAACAGGCGCTCGTTTAACGCGCTAGATGGGATTGCAGTGTTGTTTCGCCGGAAAAGGTTTTTGATTGCCGGGTAGGCGGTGAGGCAATAGAGTGCCGTTTTCTGCGGTCAAGGTCTTAGTAGCCTCCTCCACGTCAGCAAAATGCTCTCTGTACGCCGGCCATGGTAGTTTTTCTTTGTTCTTATCAACATTCATATCCTTGGTAGCACTAGCACATTGCTGGCTCGTTGACAGTTGCGCTGGGTTCATAAAGTCCCTGGACATATTTCAGTTTGTACCCGGCAAGCCAAAAACAAACCCCGCGCAAACAGCAGTAAATTTTGCCTCGACTGTAGACACTACACCGGATTAATGGCGCAAATCAAAATGCGAAACATGCGCAGTGCGGAGTGACGGCGCTAATCAAAATACGAAACATTCGCAGTGCCCTCCCCGTGTATTGTTGTTTCACGTTTGATTCACCCGAGTAAAAAGCGTTTGCGCAGAAAAAAAGAAAAACCGCGAAAGAGATAGTTCTTCAAGACACTAAGATGCAAGTGTTCAGTCACAAAGTACAAGCGCGTGCTAAAGATAACTACTTTTTTTTTTTTCACCAAACCTACACGTGGCTATATTCGGGTCGTGACTGGCGAGAAAGAACGTATTCACAAGTCTGTGCAAAAAATAACTTGACACTCGAAATGTCGGAAGAGACAATGTGGAAAGCGCAAAAAATGGCTAAATTGTACTCGTTCAGTGATATATTATTCATAAAAAACTGGAAAGTAACGACAAAAGTAACGTCGTTACTTTCGTCGTTACCTCAGAAAAAAGTAATAGAACTACAGTTACAAGTTACATTCTTAAAAAGTAACTCGTTACAGTTACAAGTTACCAAAAAAGTAACGAAATTACAGTAACGCGTTACTAGTAACGCGTTACTACCCAAGACTGGCCAAGTGTCCAAATTAGGGCCCCCGGAGAGGTACCTGTGGTAGGAAGGGCGTCTGCTACAACCACCAGAACGGTGGTGGAGGTCTTTTTTTACGTAGTAAGCGCACCGGTAGAAGGGTCATTTGGGGGCACCGTACCTATGATCGGCATTTGGAAGTGGCGACGACTCGCGGGAGCCAGTGTGTCGTGCAGGGTTAACGTTGCTATATTGGCGGTTGGTGGTGTCGCGGCATTTCTTTTTGCGTCTGCTTTGGTTTCCGTCGACAGTCCGGCTGCAGAGTGGCTTATGGCAGAATGCGCGTCTGCACACACCACCGTTTGCTGTGCCATCTCCGGGATTGTGACGGGTGACGGCGCAACGCTTGGACGAGGTCGACGGGTGTAAAGGGAGGGAGCACAATAGACTACTTCCATAAAGCCCTGCATGCAACACGGCGCGCGTTGCACTCTGGGAACTAGTTGGCCAGGGAGGAGGGTGGCATGGTTTCGGTTTCGATCGACACGTCGACAAGAGATTGTTTTCGGGTCCCGAGAGCGTCATTTGTGGTCTCTAAACTAACCTAAATGGCCAGGCCTCGAAGCTTTAGCTCAAGCCTGAGACGTATAGCTTGTCTTAACACATGCTTGTTGTATTTTTGTACTTGAGCCTTCCTGTTAGCGTTCCAATCGAGTTATGTGGACGAGCCAGTGCTGGGAATCTCGACGCTGCGAAGCTCGGGGATCTTGCTTGTATACGAATCAACAAGCTGTAGCAACCAATAAGTATGCATTCATCGAGCTCGCGCCTTTACATTAGTGTTGTTGATCAGGAAGTTTGTTTGTTTCGTGCGTCCATAGACGAAATGTTACTTTTTGCAATTACTGTATTTCTTAATATGCCTGAGTATGCGAGGTAAAACTCGGAGGCGCCATTGAAAAGCTCAATTTTGACACACTTCTTATCTCTTATCCGTACTGACCCGCAGCACTGCACGAAGTGAAGTCCCCACCCGCTTGCATTCCATTAATATTCAACATCGCGTATGCACATAAAGTTATCCTGCAATCATATAGGCAAATTCGCACATACAGACCGTTTTGAAAAAGCAAAAGTCGAGCACTTGTGTGAAGAGTGTCGCACCGTTCCCCGGAAGTGCGACGGACGGGCACGAACCCCTATGCGCACCACATAGGGGTTCATGCCCGTCCGGCGCACGGTGCGACATTCTTCACACAAGTGCTCGAACGAATTCAAAGTGCGTTTGACGGTTGCTAATGGCCATAATATTTGTTCTGTGTTTGTTTTTTCTCCTGCCTGAGTATGCCGAGATAATTTCAGACGCACCGTTCAGGCGCAGATCTTGGGCGTCAGTAAAAGCTCGTCCAAAAAGGCTTAGCGAGGAGTAGGGGACGCTTGTTAGGGCCTCCGTCGTAGCTAGCCGATCTCAGCATTTGCGAGAAATTAATCTTCTACCAGCATAAAATTAGAGTGGGAGATATATGATGACACGAGGAAGACATCATAGTAACTTTTGTGCTGTAGTTATGTCGAATTTATTGCGTTTCCTTAAAAGTTCATGCGTAAACGCTGGACTCAACTTTGATACCCTGTGAGGATGCGGCTTTCTTTTCGCCCAATGAAGTAACAAGAAACGGACGTTTGGCAAACAAAATACGGCTCCAGATGAACAAATTTCAGCTCTAGTTCAGTGGTACTAGACGGGATTATTGAAATTGAGCTCAAACATGCACTCGTAGGGCGAGGTGACTAAGCCACGTCTTACTACGGACGCACAATATCCGGTGTTTCGGGAACCAAGGAAAGTGCCCCGGTCTTCGTTTTGCATCGCTCGAGAATGAGTCTATTGTACGTTCGTGAAAAGTCAGATAATCGAGAACGCAAGCAGCGCGTTCGGTCGCGGAGTGATAGCATGAGGTGAAGCTGCTCAGTCGAAACCGAAACTGAGTGGCCAACTAGTTCCCCGAGTGCACTGCGTGGAATTTCGCCGCGATGGGGCGCGTCGGTTTTGGAAGTAGTCCATTGGGGACGGATTAAATGCGCCAGTTGGGGACACGTTCGAGGCACCGCGGGCGAGGGTCCCTTTCTGCTGGAGTTCTAAATTTTTTTGTTATTGCTTCTTAAAATTTGAAATGAACTTTAGTATGACATATTTGTTTTTTTCTTTGCCAAAAGTTTATATTTTCGTATATAAGTCCGCGTTGCAGTCGAGTTCTTTTTTCCCAAAAAGTTGTTTTCCCTCTGTCGGGGTTTTGTCTCTGAAGTGATAGTATACATAAAGGGTCGATGCGCAGGTTTGTTTTTTCTTATCTAGCGGGAGTATGTGCAGTGCTTGCAGGCTGTTTAGGTTTAGAAGCATCGAATGAAAATATGGAAGGCAGGAAGTTGTCACCTTTATTCCATTCAATTTCATTTTGGTGGAGCCACTTCCGCAACTTCCCAGCTGCTTCAGATCCCTAACTGTAGATACTTTGTGGAAATTCTCCGTCGGGTAATCAACTCTCATCCTCTGAATCCCGAAAGGTGTCCACAGTGGCATACCGCCAGAGCGACTGGTATGCAAAGTGAGCATCACGTGCCTGGAACGTCTAGTTTGAAAACTTTAATTAGCCCAGCAAAGTGAAACTTTGTGCAAATAAAAGATTTGTAGTTTGCCAAAGAGAGAATGGATAGCAACACCTCCCGCGCTGCGTGGAGTTTTTCGTTTAGGCGGCCAGTTTCAGATGTGTCATGTATGACGATGACGGTCGGAGGGTTAAAAATGAGTAACTTGGTCAAATTGTGCCTGCAGTCTAAATGTTTGTCGAACCGGAGATGCGACATATTCTTGGCATCGCTACCGGCACGCTGGTAGTTTGAGTATGCGGCAGGACTGACGGGTGGGTAACGGGGCGTTGCAGAACGAGAGCTGCGACTCGAGGTCTAGTTCCAGCTTATCCCTGCGGACACTGAGGCCCACGGGGGTGGAGGCGGTGGCCAACCAGTCGCCCTCGCACGTGAAGGTGCAGCGCAGTGCCTCGGCCACGGCCAACAAGCCCCATCGGCGGCTGAGCCACACGGGGGACCAGGCCGGGAGCGCCGCCACACCAAACGCAGCAGGTGGGCCCCCCCCCTACAGTCTGGCTACGCATACATGAGTCAACTTAAGGGGAGACACTGGCGTAATTATTAACTTTTGAACTCCTCGTCCGATTTTAACGAAATTTGGAGAGTGCATTTATGAGCAGATGCAGGGACACTGTGCAAACTTTGACTTCTATAGGAGAATTATGTAAAAAGTTACATATTTGTGTATGAGGCTGTGGCACCTTTCCTTAGGAAATCTATCGTATGAAAATGAAATGTTAAACCACTGTTTTTATTGCTTGGATATGAAGTAGAGGGTATGTGGCTTTGGGCTATCTAATTTGTATGATTAAAATGTAAAGATTTCGGAGAGAAATTCTGTCTCCAAAAATGATATGCACTTTCTTTGAATGCCATTTTGCCAAAATGTCACTTTTTCTCAGTGATGACTTCAACTTAAAACAAAATGAAGTAGATAGCCCAATTCCCCAGTAAATTTCAGTTCAGAAACACTTTGAACGAGGCACCTGGATATGTTTACCATCAAACGATAGATTCCTTGCTACAAAGTTTGCAGCAAAAAAGTGAAACTGAGAAAAACGCATTCAAACATTGAGCACCTTTACTTTATTAGTTTGGCCCAGTCTGTGTCCACTAAAAGGCGCCGGCAGAGTAGGTCTCCCCTTCGGCTGCCTGGTCCCTCTGTGCCTTGGCGATTGCTGCCAGCTTCCTTTGCTTATGGGCCACTTTCGAAGAGTTGAGGGCCTTCTGCTTCGCCTTGGAGACCTTGGCTTGGAGGGCCTTGTCAGCGTGCTGAACCTGGTGGCTTCCGGGTTCGATTCCCATTTCATGAAGGGCCCTCTCAAAGCCCTTGGGGCCCAGGTTGAATTCCAGGACGGCAAGAGCCACGGCAGTTTCCACAGTTCTTCGAGAGGCGAAATCCGTCTTGGGACACCGCCTCCACACCAGAGCATTGAACGACTCGTTGTTGTTCTGCGTTCCCATCCTAGCACACCTCTCGAGTAGGTCCCGCCTTGAGAGTCTATTGTAGAGGGGCACCAACTCCTTTGCGATGTCTCTGGAGAAGGCAGGGCGGTGTGGCTGTGGCTTCGTCGGCTCTCCTGCTGCCTCCAGCGCTTTCTGGCGATTGAAGTGACACCAGGAATGTTCTCCATGAGGGCAGGCCTGATGCCGGGGCTCTTCATCGGTGGAGTAGCTGTGGAGGAGGCTGGCAAACACTGCCTTCTGCATGGCTGGAACGTCTGGGGCACTGGTCTTCAGTGCAGATGCATAGTAGCTGGTCAATTTCTTCATGACAAGGTTCGTTAGTTTGCCCCTTCCACAGAGACCTTTTTTTGTTTTCTTTAGGGCCTCCATGCCAGCATACATTCTTTTGGCGACGTGGTTCACACAGTCTTCTTTCCTCATGCCCTTGTCGTAAAGATCAAGTCCCGCAACATGGTTGAAGGCTTTACTGTCCCCGTCGCACAGCACTGTCACATACTGCAGGTTGTGGAGTTGGACGGACCGACGGAAGATCTCGTCTGCTGCTTGCAGCTCCATCGCATTTGCAGACTCAGCAAAATTCTTCTGGCATACTGCCCTGTGATTTTCGGCCCAGTCTTCATGGCTGTCAGATCCCTGCGCAGGTCCAAGGCTACATCCATGGCAATAATTGCTCTGGACAGAATAGTCCAAAACTAGTCCAGTCTCAAGCTCGATGGCAACTCCAACACCAAAGTGTGAAGTGTGCCCACGCTTATGCCAAGTGCCATCGTATGTCACACAAACGTCCATCAAATCGCCGCTATCTGACTCGCGTGTTTCTCGTACAGCTTCTGCTGCCTTGCTCATTACGTTGCTGGCTGCTCTCACTGAGGCGTCGTGGACCTTTTCTCCCAGATGTTGATAAGATCGGAGATGCATGGGCGAAGGAGCATTGATACCGGCAAAAAAGTTCGTAAGCTTCGTGTATCCGATTCCACATTCACGAGACGCAAGAGAAATCCGTGCTGCCAATTCATTCTGCCGCGAGTGTCCGATGGTCGACGAGTGCGGCGTCCGAGCAACGTCCCCGCAGTCTGGGCAGACGACGACGAATTGCGCCTGAACTCCCTTGCCACTCTCGCTTAGCTGAAGGTCTGATCCACGGCACACTGGGCACAGAAGAGCGGACACCAGTGTCTCGATGGCAGATAAAGCAACCAGACGATAACCTTCGGTTGGGGCACCGTCGGGAGCAGCGGGAGCGTCCGTGGGATCCGCAGCGGGATCGCTCTCTTGCAGTAGCGAGATCTTGCACTCTATCGCCGTGAGCTCCTCCACAACCTCATAATCTTCAGGAAGAGACGAAGAAACGTCGGCTGGTTGTTCAGAGGTCAGGTCCTGAAGCGACGAACCGGGAGATGGTGACGCGCTCGGGAGCGAAGCAGCTGACGCGTCCGACGTGGTTCCGTTAGGGTTAGCGCATCGTACGCGTCCACCTGACGAGCCTCTTGGTTTCACAGAACGGCGGCGAGCTCCAAAGGCTTGGAGGGAATGCCGTTTAACGGCCGGCATCGCGGCGACGAGACCGTAGATAAAACGATAAAACTGTGAGAAATATATAACGAGCAAGCAAAAGAAGCGAACGTTCGGCCGAAGCAACGAGACGAAACAACAATTCGGGCGAGCGGATCACGTGGGGTGTCACGGACCAATCCAGGCTTGAGTTTCGTTTTTAAGCCAATTATAGCCGACAACTAGAGGGCTCTGGCTTTGTTCATGCTTACTCTCGAACGAAGTTTACTATCGTCATAAAAGCCCGAAGAAACGACGCTCCCAACGAGGGTATCAACATCGCGGTAGGCCAAATGGGCGCGGAGCGGTCGGCATTTGAAAATGGCGAATATTGTCAACCGATCGCGCGACGGAACGACTCGGGGATAGGAGGCGCGTCGCCGACCTGTCGAAAATCTTTTATATCTGCTTAAATACTCGACGTACGGGCATGAAATTTTATGGAAGGGTGCATTATTAGTTTCTGAAATCAGATATAACAAATTTGAAAAATGCACTTTTCAAAAAAAAACTGGGAATTGGAGCCCGTGTCCCCCCTTAAACGTTCTTGGAGGAGCACCTGGGGGCACTCGGGGAACCCCTGGGAACCAGGGTGAGAACAAAAATTGATGATTTAGATCGTCGTTTAAACCGAGTCGACGATTAAAATGGAACACTCTAAAAACAATGGCGGCAGAGGTTCTTATGAGCTCCCGAATTGACTTAACTGTGCCTGCCTCTAAGTTAAGCATTGTTCCAGTTTAAGTACTATTTTAGAATATTTGAACCATGTAGTGACAACGTTAGTAGTAGAATGTGCATTGTGCTTTGCAAGGCTCAGTTGCAAGGTGCAAGGTTGCAACATGCAAGGACTGGGAAGGGGCTCCTCGGCCGTCGGTCCCGAGAGGGGCGTTATTCGAGACGGAAATGCTCCGCCCTAGATTGTCGCACAAACTCGATCCTCAATATTTATGGCCTACAGGGGGCGTTCTAGTTTCTACCAGAACGGGCATTGTTGGGACGATCGCCGTAACACAGCACTACGAGATATGCGACGGCCCAGTAATTCGATTGAAATACGAGCGACACGAGAGCCTTGCCTCGTACTTTCACGTCGGGAGGCTGTAAGGGAGCAGCTTCGTCCCCAGGCCGACAATCCCAGAGTGGAATTCTTGCACCGTGGCACCCCGACTACAGGTACTCAAATTACTCGTTTACTTTTTCGAGTAATTTTGTAATGATTGGAATACATTTATGAGGAAGTAATTGCGAGAGTAACCTCGTTACTTTTGGAAGTACTGAAATTTTTCGTAACCATTTCAATTTTTCGTGAAGACATCCTCAAACCAGTTCTCCAACAGGAGGGTGGTTTACCAGATTTGGTAAATGAAGAAGATGCACTGCTGACAGAAAGAATAAAAGAAACTCGGGATGAAGTTTGCGTTAGTCTTTCTGTGGTCAGTCAATTTGACCAACTTCCCTTAATCTGAAAAAGATTAGTATTTTTTATTTCGGCGATTACCATAGAGTGATAGACATTATGAGTGGCCCTTCAAACCACAAGAAAAATTTGTTTTTTTTTTTATTTATTTATTTATTTAATCCAATTTTATTTATTTAGTAATCCAAGAAGTAACGGTTACTTGTTTGAGCAACGTCTAATCACTTTTCTTCTCGAGTAATCGAATGGCACACTCGTTGACCGAGGGCAGTTGATCGCTTCTTTGGAGTGCCGCGCATGAGACTGGGCGCCTTCTCTCCCCCAGGCGGCCAGGGGGGCACGGCGCCGGCGGCCACCCCCGGGGGGGGCTACAAGCCCTGCCGGGGGGGGAGCGAGGCGAAGGAGAGCCCCGCGGGGGGGGGGCTCTCCCCGCCCGGGCAAGCCCCTGGGCCTGAAGAAGGCCGGGTCCGGGGGCAGCACCCCGGGCACGCCCCTGGGGGCCCCCCCGGGTGCCAACTCGAGCAGTCCCTCCAAGGCAGTGGGCTCGGTGCGCAAGGCAGGGGTCCCCAACAGCGCCCCCAACTACATCAAGGCCAACCTGAGCGGCATCCCCCGGCGCAACACCTACAACTACGCCGAGGGCAAGGGGGGCCCCGCCACCATCGACGCCCCCACCAGGTACCCTTCCCAACCAGTCCGCAGCAGGCTGGAAGAATCGAGACTATTGGGACGATTTGGCTGCGACGATTTAAATGCTCCACTTTTCCCCGAAATATTTCCCAAAATATTTTCTATTTGCCGTTTGTCCGTCGGTGTTTGCACCCCATGGGCATTTTTTTTGAAGCAAAGAATGGTCAAGCAGAAAATGTTTATTTTAGGCAGTAATTGTAAATGCATCTAGTGATAAAAAAAAGTTGCTTTGTCTTGCTGAAGTGATTCAAATCGTGCAAGTTTAATTTGAGTTTAAAAAAAATTATAAAAAAAAAAATTTTTTTTTTATCCTGGTTTGCGGAATGTACGTGAAGTAGAAATTTTATGCGTGCAAACTGTTACTTTTTTAGGCGCATATTACATGCAAATGCGACGCTCATTTCAGTTGGTTGATGAAATCTCAAGGGACTTTGGTGAAGTACCACCTGAAGAAACTCGAATTGGACAATCTATTGAGGTGTACAAACTTCTGTCAAATTCCCCAGCAAACTTCCTTTTGCTCTAGGTCCTTTGAAGTTTGTTCAAGCCTTTTTTTTTTTGTGCTGAATTTACGAGTCTGGTTCTCTATTGCAACAAATTGTACTTAGAGAAGGGGCAATCTCCCCTCGTCCATAAGATTGTATGAGCTTGTGAGCTCTATGCAGGCGGCAGGTATAGGACACTGGTTGCAGATTAGGTCCCTATAAACCATAGAGTTGTTACAATAAACGCTAGAGGCTCAGCTGGCGCTATTGTGCTGTTGCATTTTGAAGCAGACAGCAAGCAGTCGGAAATTGACTTCCGGTAATGCATTTCTATGCGAAAAAGCGAGTGCATTTTCTTTCTGCGCTCAAATATAAGAGCAAATATCACAAATAATTTGTACGTACTAGGCACATTGGAACATTTCTCAGTCACGCAGACGAAATAATTGGTCAGTTACGGCATTTTTATTTGAAATTCGTGGCATGAAAAACTGTGCTAAAACCGCTTCGTACGTGTATTTATGTGCACTGCCGGGCACTGTTAGCTCGAACACGGCGTCGGCGCTTTCCAGCATGGGGGATATACGTGCCAATTGAACGAAGGACACGTGGAAAACCAAGAGAGACGGCAAGAATTACGCAGTAACACTGGATAAGTAACTCCTTGTGCATGCAGACGATCAAAATAAATTGAATGCCACGTAATATAGTCTAATTTGCAATAAATAAGTAGTGCTTCATTCCTGCTCATGAGTATGTGCGAAGATGCTTGTTATGTGTTCAAATCATCAACCGCACGCTCCAAATCTTTGCAGGAGCCAGAGAGTAGGTGCCCGATAAAAAGTGCCCTACACAGGAAATAATAAAAAGACACACCTTTCGTAGTTCACATGCTTTATTTTTTGCGTTAGAATGTTTTTTTTGGCGGATCGTAAAGATGCACGACGGAGTCATTTTCATCCAATGACAGGACGGGCAATTAGCAACATATAAGCACCACCGAAATGCTAGCAAACCTTGAACACACTCTACATTCCTTTCGATCGTTAGTTTGCTTAGAATTGTCGCTCGTTTCTACATACCTTCCTTGCCACAGAGGTTTGGGCCTGAAATAGAGCGAAGTTTAACATTGTTCAGTAGTAAAGAAAAATGTTGTAACTAAAGCAATTGCACTCTCACAATACCAATAAAGGTACATACTATCCGGTACAACCGAAATTATGAAAGTTATTCATGTTATTTTCCGGCGAAGAGATAAAATTCACGCGCGTTTTCCCATAGGAATACACAGGGAGGCTGGAAATCTAGACTGCATGCTGTCTGCTTCAATTTGCAACCGGAAGTCCCATAGACACTAGCGCCAGCCGAGCCTCTGGTGTTTATTGTAATAACTCTATGCTATAAACTGAAAGGTAGTGCAATTCCCCCTCTCCCCACATTTTCCTCCTTTCCGTCGGGGGCAATCCTGTGCCACGTTTCCCGCTGCCGTGCGACGCCCGCAAGGCGCACGTGCCGGACCATACTTCTTTGCTATTGCGGACTAGAGAATGCTTACTGATTACCAGCTGAACGTTAGGAAAGCGACGAAGAGAGAAAGAAACACACTGCTGGACTATCAACCCTTTTTTTTATATACACTTCCTTTTCCTCAACCCAATCCTTAAAAGGGTAGCTTCTTCTTCTTCTTTCAAAGCTTAGACTTAAACTTCCTTTTTCTCCTCACGGACCATGGTGTTCTCCACCTCTTCGACTTTCCCCATCCCAAAAGGGTAGCTTCTACCCTTTTGGGATGGGGAAAGTCGAAGAGGGGAGAACACCACGGTCCGTGAGAAGAAAAAGGAAGTTTAAGTATAAGCTTTGAAAGAAGAAGAAGAAGCTACCCTTTTAGGATTGGGTTGAGGAAAAGGAAGTTTATTAAAAAGGGTTGATAGTCCAGCAGTGTGTTTCTTTCTCTCCGTCGCTTTTCCTAACGTTCAGCTGGTAATCAGTAAGCATGGATAACCAACCGGCTCAGCTACAGGCCATCAGGACTAGAGAAATATTCTTTTTAATATAAAGACAATTTTTTTTTTTTTAGCTTGAAGAAACTAGCATTTGTGCACCTTTATTGGAGTTCTAAAGCACAAGACGACGTCTCAGTTGGCAAATGTAATACCATGAGTTGAGTTGGAGTCGCTCGAGTGTGATGACAAGCTTTCTCTCCAATTCCGCTGAATGCAGACAATTTAAAAAAAGAAATGCCAATGTAGTCCCGAGTATTTTGGGACGTGGACATGCACTTTCTAAAGTATTTTGCGTTTACCCGTTTATTGTACCAAGTGCTGAGAGCAGGCACACGACAGAATGCACTTTATGCATGTAAATAGTTTTAGTGGATCGTAAGCAAGGACTGCTTTGCTAGCGGGAGTTCGTGCCGTCGCTTTGAGTGTGGATTGAGCACGTGCCCACAAGGCCCTGAATCCTTAGCGTATGTGCTACTAAAACTTTTTAGTATCGTGAACAAAGTGCATTTGCAGACTTGGCATCGGAGTTCGGCAAATAAAATACGGAACAACGCGTAGAAACCCAGGACTTGTCTGTAATTTTTGCCATTACCGATTGTTCTTCCAAACCATCAGCTTGGTTACTTCGTACGCATTTTATAAACGTTGAATACTACCTGCAGCTGTGCACACGTGCACGAAGGAGTATGGACGTCTGCTACTTGCGCGCTTCGTGTATTTAACCTCTTAACTGTTTTTAGTTTTCGGGAGTATCTGACTCTTAACTGCTTTATTGTCGTCTTCGAACTTAAATTTGCTGCCTTCAAAATCAAGTTTCTTACCACAAACAAAATAGCAAAATTTAAAAAAAAAAAAAAAACAATTAGGTGCTGCCATCTGTTAGAGCCTCAAATTATGCTTGAGCGAGCCTGGTTCGTCTAAAACGGTTGAGTGCGTGAATCGGGAAAGCAGACGAGCGATGTCATGTTTCGTCAAAAGCGGTTAATTACCCTTTCATGCATCACCTCGGAGGCAGTCAAAAGTGTACCGACCGATCCGGTGGAGCCATTGAATTTGTCGCTGAAGATTTTTTTTTCTCGTCAAGACAATAAAAAGCTTCTTTCCTTTCGTAACGCAGTTCGTGCAATCCACTGCGCAGCAATATAGCATCACATTGCTGCCAAAATCGTGATGCCTTGCCATACGTTGCACGAAAATGGCGCCGGTTCAGAGCAGACGACCAAATTGTGTGGGATCATGGGAAGGTAACAGTCACATGTATTTCCCGATGCAATTAAAGCAAGAGGAAAGAGAAATTTCTAGAGGGAAAGGGCATGTGTGAGGAGAAATATCTTTTCCCCATTTCAGACTTGTTTGCGTTACCTTTCAGTATATAGGGACCTTGGTTACAGCCGTTTTTGTAGATATTTTGCGTGGCGACGTCGGGTTTTGGAGAACCCTCGTACAAGGTTGAGTGCGTCTACTTTTGGCTCGGGGAGGGTACAGGGTTGTCCGCAGAAATGAAACGTTGGGGCCGCCAAAAACTCTGAATAGTTAAAGGGGCGGTAAAGTGGTTTCTGAAACTGTTTATTTATGGTCATAGCTCTAACTCTGTGGGCTGTAAACATTTTTAGAAACCCAAGGTTAGATTGATACGCATCCGATTTTTTCAAAGGCAAAATCCAAGATGACAACAAGGCCGCTTTTCTGTGATTCGGCATGGATACCAGAAGGCGCCATTGGAAGTGCACCAGGCAATCGAGAGTGATCTCTTCACAAGCATGGATTGCGCACATTCGAAAATCCGTCCGGAAGGTGGTTGGTCACGATTGGTGGTCGCACGACCGCGGTGCCCCCTGGTTTCTGCGTCAGGTCGCAGAAAAGCGGGCGTCTCGCAACTTTGATATTGTTTTAGGTAAATTGAGCGGGCGTCAATTTAATCGTGGGTTCCTTCAAATGTTGAGAGGTCGTAGGTTGATATTGCGGACACCACTTTGGTGCCCTTCTAAAGGAGCCCCACTGAGGAATGGTCACGCTTGTGCTACTAACACGCACTAACGCTGCTTTGCCGCTTGTGCTCTGTCTGCGCAACTGGTTTGTTGGCTGCGGTCCGCTCTTAGCCGCTGTTGCTCGTTTCAGTTGGCTTCTTTTTTGCGTCTCGTGGGAGCTGGTGGGGACGGCCGTCCAGCTGGATAGCGGCGTCTCATTAAAACCGGAATAGAGTGCAGTGTGGCCGTCATCCCACTACAACGTTTGGAATTGGGGGTGCTACAGAGACGAGGCCGTGTCGAGGGTGTAATCAAAATGCAGGTCTGTTTGGACGGAAGGTACCCTCTCAGGAACGTAGTCTTGTCAGCAGTCCAAAATGTTTGGGGGGCATTAACTGGTGATTCTTGGGATACGAGGGCTATTGGGAAATGGGGGATCCTAGATGGACGCCCGAACAGCTGAGGCTCTAGGCGAGGGCCGCAATTCTCACAAACCGAAGAGCCACAACAATTTCACGTAGTCGCCAGCAAGAAAGAAAAAGGACATCCGTCGACGGTGCGTTTGAGGAGACGACTGGGGGGATGCATAGCGTTGGTGCAGGGAAGAGTGTGGGGGAGCAAAGGTCTCTTCTGTCACGCTTTAGATGCACCACATTACACCCGCCAGTAAGATTGGAAAGTCGAGGACAGAGTCGAAATGAGCAACATGCGTCGTTGATTGGGAGATTACTGCTTTTAATGCAGCGTCGTCGCAGGTCCGACTTCTAAAATGGAGACAATCCAACAGGCATATCATATGCAGGTTAGCTTATTAACTTGCGGTTAGATTTGGAACCTCATAATTGGTAGAAGGGAGGTATTTTGTTTGCACAATTCTAACTCGTACCTTTTTTTTTGCCAAAATTGGTGCCCAAAAACACTTGTGTGTTACAATCGAAACCAAAAACCGAAACTCAAAAAGAAAAACGCAGTACTTAGTATAAGGTGGGTGACCCCATCGCCATCGTGACAGTTTGTTTACATTCGCCATTTTGGTATCCGTGTCACGCGCATTCTCTCGCATCTACGGACTCGTGTCTGCCATTCTAAGATAGAAAAACAGAATAAATTTGACTAGGGGGCTTAATTTAAACGAAAGGCCGTCACTCTGAAGGGAAAAGATACCAACGAAGCAGTACTGCGTGACCTCGCAATCCCAGCGACCCGAGGGAGGTCGCAAAGTTGTTTGGAAGACGACCCTGCCAGTGGCAACGGACGCGCACTCGCACAGGCCAAACCGCCTTTTTTGGCTAACCAGGAGCACAGGGGGGGCAGTAGAGGCCCGGAGCGCACGCGTTTACCGCGTCCTAAAAGCCAGTCCCTTGGGAATCCCGCCAGCGTTGCAGCCGCATTGGCAAGTGTGGCGGCAGGCCTTTCTGGTGCAGGTCGCTCGCTCCCCGGCTCGACGGTCAGCAGACGCCTTGGCAGTTGGAAATTTGGACGCCCCGACAAAAGCGACTGTTGTAAGCGCTCGTGCTTTTTCCCGGGAATTCTTTTACGAACTGCCAGAATTGTGGCACCTGACGCCGGGACGCGTCGGTTTCTGCGACGTCGTCCGTTGCCGCTTTGGGACCGCTTTCGATTCGCGGGCGTAATGGGACGTCAAAAGTGCCGGTCAGAGGCGAGTCGCGGGCACCGTAGTAGAGGCGGTCGAAGTCGGTCCGGACGTTGGAACCGGGGGCAATGTAGCGGAAGCGAACTTTTCGAGCGCGGAGCGAAGGGTAGTCCTCCGCATCTGAAAGGGGCCTGCCCCCTCCCCCCCGTGGCCCAGCAACACGTCGCTGGCGGAGGAGTCGAGCGGAGGCGCGTCCCGTCCCAGGGGCCACGCCAAGTCGGCCTCGGTGTCGGGCACGGGCAGGGCCGGCTCCGACCTGGCCCCCGCCGACCCGCTGCGCCCCAGGTACCGCACGGTTGACTCCCGTCCGTCCTTGTCGTCCCCCCGTCTTGCACTCGCACGGTTTGTCTCTTCGTCCTGGATGGCTCGCACGCACGCTTTCTCCCCGCCTTGCACACCGCCTGCCTTTGGTCGCCCGGTTGTGCGCTCTCGCTCGGGGCAGGCGAGAAGGGGGTAGCCCTGGGGTTGGGGCTTTCACTGTCTACAGGCTCCCTGCCCCGGCTGACGTTCCCTGGCACCAATCCTTCTAGCGTGTTTGTGTTTTGTTCCTCTCGCTCGAGCTCCGGCAACCTTGCACTTGCGTCGAGCCGATAATTTTCGGCTTCCTCGCATCTCTCCTCTATCTGGCTTTGGTGGCTCCTTCGTCCCCATACTCCGTTTCACCTTACGTCCGGGCGCGACAGATGCCACGAGCCATTGGGGCCCATCCGAGGCCGCAAGAGCGTCGTGCGACCTCGGAGAAGGGGCATGGCGACGCGCAGAAAACGTATTGCGGGCTACGTCCACAGAGCCGGGTTGGCTAGAATGGCTCGCGGCGTCCGCTGCATCTGGACGTAAGGCGAAACCTAATATAGGAATTTGCGTCGTGTCATTTTAGGCTGGTGAAGGGATCGGTGAGGGTTTGTGGGCGGCGTTTCGAAGGGAAATGCTTCGCGGGAGATACGATCGTGACCGGAGCTGTTCTGCAGCTTTTTGCACAATGCTTGCGGCCCATTGGGGTTGTTGTCCGGTGGCACAGGCAATGAGAGTTTGCGGATCGGTCTTTGGCCAACACTAAAACGCGTCCAGGTGTGCGTGCGAGGCTGCCTGCAACAGATGGCTGAGGCAGTGTTAATCGAGCGACACTAAAGGCCCAGTCACGCGGGCATTTACTTACGTTTTTTCACGTTACGTTGTAAGTCGCCGGAATGTATGTGCCTCGAATGTCACGTGCCAGGCTATTACTTAAACTGGTTGGCACGCTTAATACACAGATGTCTGGGTGACCCTCGACGCAAGCGGACGTAAACTTCCGTTACATAACGCAACGGAAGCAAACAATGGCGTGTGAACCTGACTCTACTCTTTTCGGTGGCGGCTGGACCTCGCCGTTCCTCGGTGCGAATGCCGCTTTGTCCGTTGTAGTGAAGACCTCGCTAACTGCCGCTTGGACACGTGTGGCCGTATACGCGCCAAATGGCGTATTTTGTGCGAGAGTGCTTCTAACAAATCAGTTTAGGCACATAGAAAGTAGTTCGACAATGGGGGGGGCAAAAGATGAGCTTCTCCGCGGCCCGCGTGGCTCTCCTTTTTAGCGTGCTTGAAGCATGACCTGCATTCCTGGGGTACTGGTTGGCTTTGCAACAATCCCGGCACGCTGCACCTCAAAGCACCGCTGGAAGTGAGACTGGCAATGAGTTCTTTAGCAGTTTGTTAAGACACCCTAGACTGGGTGAGAAAATTTTGAAACAACCAAAAGTACAAGAGACGGGGAGAAGAGTTAGACGACATCTCGAATTTGGCTGAAACATTTGCTTAGAAAACCTCTTGTATACACTTTGAAACGAAAGTCGCCTCCAACCAACATGAAGGAAGAAAAAAGAAGATACTTGATCTTACTTTTTTTGCAGGATTTACGTTATGTGTAACGTCTAAGACTGTACAGTTGTAGAGAGTGACATTGTTACTTTCAATACAAAGTATGGCAGGGTGTGTGAACTGTAAAGATATTGCTTGGGGAGTTGGACTTGTTTCCAGCTACTGACTGCGTTTCGCCGTTCTAGAAGTGTGCCGCCATTTTGTCCTCTTTTTTTTTCTTTCTCGTTCTCTGTTGTAGAGAGGCAAAGGCAGTTAAGCCAAAATCCAGGTCCGGTTCGTTGTTGTCCCATTGGAAGATTCGCTTGCCGGTCAATAAGCCCAGGTAACGACTGTGCTCGGAGGGCCCCCTCTGCCGCAGCCCTCCTAACAGCGTGCACAGCACCCTCCCGCCTGTCACCCCCACGACTAATCACCATCCCCAATCGGTCCCCAGGCACGGTGGGGCCGAGGCCTCGAACGTGTCCCCAACCGGTGCGTTTACCGTCCTTTCGTCGAGTGGGGTCCCGAAGTGGCAACGGACGACGTCGCGATCCCAGTATTGGGTCGTAGAAGTCCTGGCAAACAAAAAAAAAAGAGGAGCGAAAGCGAGCGTTGCCGTCGTTGCAGCATCGCAGCTCGTGGCTGTGAGTTGACCATGACCACAGACGAGGACTTGGTAGATGCACCGGTTGTAGAAGCGTTGCGGGCACGGTACCGAAAGGGCAGCCTGCCGCTACTCGTCGAGGCCATTTCCAAGGAGAGTTTGGTCGGGCCGGGAGGTTGCCACCGGGTCTCCGTTGCGCGGGTGGGCCCGCTCGCCGCGTCGGGGAAATTGCGCGTGCGGATTCTTTTCTAAGGTACAGCGTGCAACAGAGTCTGTTTGAGCAGATGCTTTTTAGTGGCTCGCTCTAAAGGCTCATTCACACTGTCCCATTTTCTTAACGTTAATTTACGTTACATGTAAGTCACCAAAAGATTTGTGTCTCGAATGTCGCGTGTCATGCTCTCTCCTTAAACTGGAAGCCTCGCTTAATACGAAGCACAGAGGTCCCGGTGACTTTGCCGTAATATTTCGTAACGTAACTTAACGTAAGAAAATGTTGCGGTGTGAATGAGCCTTAAGAGTTTGGGTGACTGCCAGACTTCACTGCGTCCGTTGGTGCGTAGCTCCGGCACACACTGTCACATTAAAGGCCCATTCACGCAGTGGCATTTGATTACATTAGACTAGGTTACGAGGGCTTACGTCGAGTTACTGTCGCGAGTCAGTTCGTGTGAAGCGTGGCAACTGATTTGGGAGCAGTTGAGCGCACAGCGTGCGAAGCACGGATGTCCCAACGACTCGCGGTCGTGTCGTAGCGTAACACGAACAAACGCCATTGAATTCCGACGTCTTCCAGTCTCATCACGGTCCATCAGTTGTGAGAGAAAACAGGTTAATACCGCGGATTCGCTGTTTGTGCCGAGGTGTCACGCTCCATACCCCGACCATTTCTGGTCGACAGCGCCGAGAGCGCTCATTTAACAAGGGAAAGAATTGCTCGTCGTTGGAGCATCCGACTTCCTGAGGGGCTCGTGTACCGGCCTACGGCTAACATTACGCGACACTGACCGTGTAAGAACAAGGGGCAGCCTTTAGCTTCGACCGAGAGCCACCTGCGATGACCCGCTCGAACTCTGCGGCTGAAATGTCACTTCTCCCCGGGGCTCCCAATGTTCGGATCAATTTCACCCGATGCGCACAGCTAAAGGGAAAGGTGTCGATCCTTTTCCTCTACCCTGTGTTATAAAAAAAAAAACACACTTGGGATTTTAACTTTTGGCTTTATGCCATGTGCAGACAAATGAAGCTTGCTCCTTTGTGGGACGTTGCCATGCTCGGTTACATGTGGCGACACTAGTCTTTGTGGCGACACGTGTGGCCTCACGATTGCGAAGCCCAGCCGGAGATTGCCTGTGCCATCGGCGGTGCCAGCCGCATTAACCCTCGTTTCCCCGGGACGTCTTTCCTGCACAACCCCGTTCCTTGTCTAGCGTGAATGCTGGAATTGCGCAGCATGTGCCGACGGGTGTGCACTGCATGGTGTGCGAGTGGAGTGAATTGCCGCTGCTACCTTGGATTGGGTTTGTTGTTGCCGAAGCCGCGACGCCGCACTAATGTTCTCGGCTGCTGTGGGGTCAATGTTAGTTTGGCGCACCGCTGTTTGGCAGTCCATCTAAGTACCGACATTTGGGGAGCCCGTTGCGAGGCTCTGGCGGTTCCGAGTCCTACACTTATTTGGGACGAGCATGTGTATGGGGCTTTTGCTTTGCACGTGCTTTTCTTTTGCACGGCGTGCCGCTCTAATTGCCCGGTGTGTGCGAAGTTCGGAAGTCTGGTAAGGACCCTAGTGGAGACTGCTACTTAACGGCACAGTCTAAAGGGGCACTCGAGTGTGTTCTGAGATGGTCTATTTCTGGGGGTAACTCAATTTGCGAGCTCTAACGATCGTAGAAAACACAAAATTATGCTTCCCTATTAAAAATCTAATCAAAGATGGTGACACGCCTTTTGCGCCTTGGAGTGGATACCAGGGTGCGCCGTCAAACGCTGTTTTTAAACAATATTTGACGTATTATTACGTCTTCGCGACGCTTTTGTCAAAATATAATGCGCAACGTGCCTAAAAAGAGCAATAATAATGTTTGGAATCTCCACACACTATTTTCATTGGATGGCCCTCCCTCCCAGAGAAAATAGTGCCCAGATATTTCTATCGCTGCGAGTTGACTAGGACATCCTGCCATCGAGAACTGGTCATTTTTATTGACCAAAGTCCAAGGAACAATGGCCATCAAAAATGAGCTTCTACAAAAAGCACTCAAGTGCCCCTTTAAGCGTGTATTTAGAGATGCTCAGAGTTGTTGGAATTTTGTGCCGAGAAAGAGAGTGAGGATGTGCGCGTGGTGAGTGGCAGCTGTTACGAAGCATTGTGCTGCAATAATTGCCTTTTGGAAGAAAAAGAGATATATATATAGTATATTACAAAATACTAGCACAGATATATATATTTTTATTTTTAAGGAATATTTAAACTGGATAACTGGTTGGGCCTCCTAGACCATGTTGATGGGATGATGGAGATTTGGAACAGCAAGAGTTGCAGTCTCTGCCCAGTGGTTTACACGTGCACACCAGTACTCTTTCCACTTCAGCAGAGCAAATGCCAGAGAAGAGCCAAGCTCCTCTTCAGCATTCGCTCTGCTGAAGAGGAGAAAGGTGGGAGGAGCTTCCCCCAAACTCTTAACCTGTCACTGACTGTAGAGTCAAAGCTAAGCTCAAAGGCCATATTTCTATTTTTTTTTTTTTACGAAGTGAGGAACAGATTTAGGAGACTGAGGTATTGCAATTGGCTCGTTTCATGATGCCACTACATTCTTCACAATGTCGAAGAGCCTAGGCACGGTACTGGAGTTTAGGTCGAGGTTTGTTGCGGGACACTGTTGGCGCGAACATCACGTCGCTGCTTTTTTTGCATTTTCCGCCGCTTAGGTTAGTGCCTCAAAAGAAGCATTTGCACCCAGTGGTAATTTCAACAACATAGTTTTAATTCCAGTGTAACGTAAAGCGCCTATACACGGCGACTTCACGTCGGCAATGATCGGTGCACTCCTCGCAAATCCATTCATACACGGTGCTTGGACGGCGTGCGGTGTCAGACAGGTTTGACCACGAGGGGTTCTCATTTCCGAGTGGCGAGGTGCAGTCATGTTAGCGCCTCTGACGTCTACCACTGAAGGGTCTGACGTTGACGACCGAAGGAATAAAGAGAAAACAAAGGCTCGCGCCAACAGTGTCTCTGCATACGGTGCTGCGCCTCGTGTCCCGAGGGGGCGGCCGACCGACCCCCCCTGCCTGTGTCCCCAGCAGCGCGTCGTCCGGGGCCAAGGGGCCCCCCCAGCAGCAGGCCCTGGGGGCGTCTCCCCTGCCGTCGCACACGAACCGGCCCTTCCCTAGGGGGACTGTGAACCGGAGCACCTTCCACAGCGGGCAGACACGCAGGGCCTACAACGGGCCGGGGGGCCTGCCCGCCCAGGCCCAGGACACCTCGAGCGTCTCGGGCAGGCAGTCCTTCTTCTCCAAGCTCTCCTCAAAGTTCTCCAAGAGGTGAGCCCCCCTCTCTCCCAAACAAGCTGTAGCAGAGCGGGGCTGTCCAAAATGGGCCCTGGTAGTTTGGTAAAAAGAAAGTGCCTCGACAGGATGTTAAAGGTGGAAAAGTAAACATCAGAAATTTGTCCGGTGGGGAGCTGCTTCGGTGGCTCGAAGGCTGGCCTATGGATCCCCAGCTGGCACGTTCGATTCCTGCGGGATTATTGCGGACGAGGCAACTGAGGTTCTGGTTGCGTGTCAAAAGGTCCCCAGGCGGTCGAAGTTAATCTTTGGTCGTCTGCCGGTGCATGCCACATGCTCTTCGTCGTAATGGCACGTAAAACCCCCAGATTGTATTATTTCAACCAATTGCCTAATTAAGTAAAAAAAAAATGGCTTTCATCGAAGTTTTAATTGAACAAAATTTTTGACATTTCGGGGCTTTCAATTAGTCATTGTCACATAAACTGCAGAATAAACTTTCACTGAATAGAAAACAAAAAATCTCAGTATTTATGTAGAGTTGTTAATTTTGAGTATCGTGACATGCTTCTACATCACTTTTGTTTTGCAATGACATGCCAAAGTAAAAACACCTTCAGACTCGCTCTCCACCAAAAATGAAACCCGCAACTCAAATATTGGTCTAAAAGATATTTGTTGGGAAAAAGTCGGTTTCGCGACAAGCGCGTCCTGTTTAGGCACCGAACAGAAAGACCTTTGGGAGTACAGTGTCCTTTTTGAATGTTACCAGTGTGTGACAGTCTTACCGTGTCGCTGGGCACAGTTCCCAGAGTGCGGAAATACACCTACTAAAATTCCTTTCTGCCAATTCTGCATGGTGCTTCATTAAACCAAGCGGTACCATCAATGCACCGGGGCCAGCTGCGTTGTGGCGTGCACGGGGTGTGCCCGTGCGGAAGGGCTCGCTAACCGGACTTGCAGGCAGCAGCAAGCTTTACAGTGGTGCACACACTCAGTGTGTCTCACTCGTGCCTTGGGAAAAGATATTACCGTATTTTCCGGACTGTGGTTCACAAACTGCAAGTATTTGAAAGTTCAAAGTTTACGCTGTGGGGACACCTTAAGGTGCGGGTTGTACAGAACCTTGTTTCTTGAAGGTCGTTCACGCGACGAATATTTTGAATGCCAGCATGTGTTAATGAGGATTTGTATACAATACAAGCTTCTCTCTGGGCCAATAAAGCGTGCATTTGTCAATCTGTCCTGCGTACGAGAATCAAAATTAACGGTTGGGCTAGTTGGCTATACATTGTTAAAGATCGAAAGCGCAAACACCAAGAAAAGAGGGGACAGGACAGGGCGCTTACTCCAACTGAGTGTTTAATGCTGTACGAGAAGCTTTTACGTGCCCACTATGCACCTGGCTCAGACAATCTAAGCAAGAACTTTTTTTTTTTCTACCGATCTTCACCTTTCCGGACTATACACCGGGTGTCGACTATGATCCGGAAAATACGGTAATGAGCTGTAGGAAAAAACTGACATCCCAACGATTTTCTGAAGCTACGGTAGAACCTCCAATGCGTTTTCCCGGCTTTTACGTCTGTGAACGCCAGTCCCGGAAGATGCCCACCGGGACGTGGGTATTTTCTGTTTGCCGAGTTTGCCTTCCCGGCTGTTCAGTCCAAAAACTGCCGTCCGGCACAGCCAGCGAAACGCTTCTGACCACCCTTTTGATTTTGCCGTTTCTTCCTCGCCTCTCTGTGCGGCGTTCCTCGTCAGTTGTTTTGACCGGGTGGCTTGACCTTGTACTAGACTTGGCAGGGATTGACGCTTGAGCAGCTGTCTGTTTATCGTTCCGTCTCTTTTCGATGTGCGCATATTTCTGGCTCGGTTGAGCTCGTGTTATTTCGCATGGAGTTTGGAGTTTATGCCGTATTTTCTAACGTATAAGCTGCATTTTTTTTTTTTTTTTGCGACATTGTTTATTTGACTTTGCGACTTATATGCTTTTTTTAAGCATGGACTCTTAACTTTGCAAGGTGTAAGCTGTGTTGACATTCTCATGGCTGCAGCGACTTTGTGCTGATCGTACGAAAGTGTTACTTGAACGAAAGTGTGACCTATACAAAAGTTTGACTTATACAAAAGTGTGATTTACATTCAAACTTTTTCGTGAAGGCTGCACTTTAGGGAGGTGCGCTTATAAACCGGAAAGTGTGTTAATCATGCACTGCATGCGACGCGATTGTGATGCGTGCGCGTCGAGCTTTGCCTATAGGGTTTCACCATAAGTATGAGCGAAGCAGATGCTAAAAGCATGAGCATGTTGCCTTCACCGTCGCTTTGTGAGCACGCATGTACAGCTGGGTCTTGTAGCACCTTTGCTCTCACTTGTGGTGAAACAAAGTGTGGAAGTGGTGGCAGCATCGGTTAGCTCAGTCGGCTGAGAAACTTGACTCACTCTTATAGATTGGCATTCTTTAGGTATGGTAGCAAAAACAACCCCCAATTTTAAGCAAGTTTCCAACAAAAAGTTGACCTGTACTTGAGAAACTGATAGTTTTTCGCAGACGTGAAAGTCCATCTGAAATACATTTCTGCATGAGTTTTTTTTTCCGCATCATCTGTTTGTCCCCAAAAGCCTCGTCGGTTGTTACATTCTCCCGGATTGTGTCGTGTATCTATCAGGTTCTACCGTAGTATCTCCACTTGCTGCTACTTGTAAGACCACCGCATTTATTGGGTAGTAGTGCATTAAGGTATGCCAACCACGTCTAACTGGGTCACTGCATGTTCTCAGAGTACACTGCATTCCATGACATACTAATACTGACATTGAAGCTAGTGCGGTTAATAATACTGCACTTGTGGAATAAATAGGTCATACCTTTCAGATTAGAGATGTGATAGTTTATATTTGGCTTTGCTACGAGCATGAAACCTACTACAAAAACAATTGGCGTTCGCTCTCGGCTTTCCACGCCTTGTTGCTGTGCATTGCCTCTGAATGGGGTACTGAGCTGCTTGCTTCGAGGAGCAGAGTGAAACTAATGCCTCAGTTTTTTTCTCTCAAAGTAGAGCACATTGTTAGTAACTTTAATGTGAACTACAGTCAACTCTCGACAATTAGAAGCTCTCGGGGACAGCAAAACTCTTCAGATTAAACTTGCTTTTAATTAAAAAGAGCACGAGCAGTATTTCTCTTTCTTTTTATTTATTTAGTGCTCACCGGGAGAAGTTGATTATTGCTTGTCTCTGCTAGTAGAGGCGCGCAGTATTCCGCTAACGGAGGTGCGTAGCATTCACTATGCTCTGGGAATGGCGAAACTTGGGGTGCCGTGACCGTTCCTAGGCTTACCACTTGCAAAATGTCACTGTCCGGAAGCAGGCTACAGACCACGGCATGTTTGTCGACATCTATATATTCAATGGACAAAACATCTGGCCTTTTTTTATTAATATTGCCGAGGAAGTGTTGGATTTTACTCTGGAGAGTATCGCATGCAGTTTGAGTTCTTAGTCGTCCAAAAAACGGCATCTTCGGACTGCGACCTTTAACGGAGCAAGCGAGAGCTCTATTATTTGGACGATGGCAAGTTGACACTAAGTCGCAATCTACACATTTGAAGTCGACGCAGTAAACGGACAGGAATGAACTCGCTCAATGATGGTGAAAAAAATTGAGATGGTAATTGAGGCTTTATAGAAGAAATATAGTACCAGTCGTGCCATGGCTTTCATTTGAAAGCCGCAGTCGCTGTCTAAGGGGGTGTCCAAACAGGACACTACAAAACGCACGACTCCGACAAATCAAGAAAATTGAAGCGTATGCGCCCGCTTCAATTTTCACGATTTGTCAGAGTCGTGCGTTTTGTAGTGTCCTGTTTGGACACCCCCTAAGACTGCATGCTTCCCGGAGTTGCCGTCGTCGTGCCAAAGGTGCGTCATCGAGCTTCCTAGAGCATCTCTTCGGTGCCTGCGACTGTGTAGGCTGACGTTGCTTTCTAGTTAACATTTTCAGCAACAGGGGTAGCGAATGGAGATGCCTCAGAGGTGCACGGCAGCTTTTGCTCGTACAACCCCTCGGCGTTCGGCTTGTGCTTCTGGCGTGGCTACGGTACCTGGAACGTGCGTCGGGGCGGCGCATTTACTGCGTCCTCGTTTGTGGTTCCTCAGTTTGCGTCTGACGACGGTGACCGACTGACGATGACCAACTGGACAAATGCTCGTTCTGCTTTGGATCGCTCTCCGGCCTTTATGGCGCGTGGAAACTTTGGCAGCCGCAAGTGGGAACGGCACGACGACGGCGAGACTGTCGTTGGCTGCTACTCTTCGCCGGAAATTCCGTAACTAATTACCATAATTTCTTTGCACTTTGGGACCAGTTGCGACGCGTTCCAGGTGTTGTGGCAAGGCTGACGTCGGAGACGGCGGTGGGCAGACGTTGTGTTGGCCGCCGCCGTCGGCTGCAACCGGAGAGTGTACCGCTTGTAATTCCACCGTTTCTTTGTTTTTCCGTTCTTTTTGGTCCCACCTCAGTGCTGCCAGCTACAACGCTACTCCACCGCCCATGCCACGAGAGCTTAGAACAAGGTATTCACTCACCCGTCACATTTCACCCCCTCCCCCCCCCTCCCTCACTCGCGTGTGTCTGCTTCCTTCCGTCTGCACTAGCCTCCTCGAATGGCCGAGCCACCCACCTGCATGCGACGGTTACGTAGAAGGTGGTCGTGTCCCTTAACGTCCCCGATTGCATGCGCTTTTCTTTGTGTGTGGTCTGGAGACGTGTGGGGTGCAGTTTTCCCGGGTCGTCTGTCCCAGGTTCCAGAGAGCCCCTGGACCTTGGAACCAGTGATTATGCCTGCCCTGCTTGGCAGACGGGGTTGGAAGGGTCCCACGAGCTTGCGATGGCTTACGTTGAGTTTCTTTCACCCAGAAGTCCCGCCCTAGGGCTAAGTAAAGACGTAACACGAAACGTGTGGCTTCGAATTGCTCGAGTGTGATTCGGGATGCAAGTGGCACGCGAGTAAGTGTTCCTGCAGCAGTCGGCAAGCCGGTGCTCGAGGCCTTACCTAAGAATAGGTCGTAAAAAGAGGCTAATGTAAAAAGCCAAAAAAATAAATGTAGAAAAAAAACTCTCTGTGCATTTTGCGATTGGGACGAGAGGGTTCCGCTCGCCCACGGTGGAGGAAGAGAGGGGTGTCTGCACGGCACTCCCTCTGCATGGAGCAAATGTGGCAAAGGTCTGCCCGCATTTCTGGCCGTGAGACGGTGCACCTCGTAAGGGGCCGACGAGAGCCAGTAGAGGAGCCCCGCTTAAATGCGCGCACAATTACGAGTATGTGTGACCGTGCCTGTGCAAAGGCTCGCCGAGCAATCTCTTGCTGCCTTGGAGGGTCTCGTTTGGACACCTCTCTCTTCCACCGTTCCCTTGCTAGGCCAGCTATGGCTTTGTCTTCTCTCCCAGCCTTGAGAAAGCTTTTAAACAGAGACTGCCACCACCCTAGGGTGGTTTATGCTCGTTTCACCTTACGATAGACTGCGGCGAATACCACGACCCACCCCAGCCAACTCGGCATTGTGAATGTATCGCTTGACTCTGCGCTTGGCGCGTAGCTGCGTCCCCCATCGGGGTTATCCAGCACCCACTTGACGTTGGATTGGCTCGTAGTGTTTTCTGCAGTTTGTCGTAAGGTGAACTAAAGAATAGGGTTTGGCTTTGGTTTTTTTAGTTTTCTTTCTGCTGTATAGCTTTTCTCAGCTTTTGTAGAAAAGGGAAATTTCAGCTTTTTGTTTCTTCCAGATTTAATGTTGGCAGGGCCACTGTTACAGTTGCTGACGGATAATTGGAGGCATTCGGCGAAACATTATGAGTGTTTAGACGGTGACTGCTTATGAGTTCGGGGGAAGCTCCTCCCACTTCTCCCTACTTTAGCAGAGTAAACGCAGGAGAAGAGGCGACCTCCCTCGCAGCGTTTGCTCCGCTTAAGTGGAAAGAGATGGGAGCAGCTTCCCCCAAGCTCTTAACCAGTCACCGATTTTTTTCAATTTGTTTGATTCTTGGGTTGGCCCTTCAGCTTTTGTTGGCGGACACAGCCTCGAGGTAGCGAGTTTTGTCGTGGGTTTTACCGAGGTAGGCAATTGGTGCAGACCAGTTTCTTGGTTGCCAGTGAACCTAAAGCTGCACCGTGCAGGACAAAACTTCGCGAGACTTCCACGTAAGAAGGTTGTGATTTGTGATAAAATGTTTTTGTTACGGGTGTATATCGAAATGTCGTATTTGCATTCTGCCCGTTCTCGTTTCGCCCCATTCTTGATCGGACCTTCTCATGTGAACCTTCTCCAAACATCCAAACCGTGTTTTCTTTTTTTTTCGCATTTGGGCCTCTTCGTATTTGGTCCCTTTGATACTAGGATCGAATGGTGCGGGGTACGTTTTCAGCCCTGGATTTGCTCCAACGGCTCGCAGGATATGCTGCAATCCACTTTAAGGGAAAATAGATTGCAGGGTGTGTGGGGGGGGGGAAACCACTTAAAATGCACACTCCTGGGACCCTTGAAAAGAAAGGCCTATGAAGCCGTGCTTCGACGCGAAAGAGCAGTTCAGTGTTTTAATGCCCAGTGCCTGCTACCACTTCCGAACAACCCAACGAGCGGGTCTTGACCTTTGCTGCATGTTTCGAGAGCTGAAGGGGCACATTCCAGGAACTACCAACCAAACCGTGGGACGAATTAGCACGTGTGCGTGTGTATGCAAGCACACGCACATGCAAGCGCTTGCGGACTTAAAGAAACATTTTAGAGGTATGTGTTGACGCAGCCATATCGCAGACACCTCGAAGTGCCCCCATTCAATTTTTTTTCTTGGGGGATCAAGTGGGCAGCATGTAACGAGAAGCGATGAAATAGGGCAAGCCAACCGAGAATGGGCCTTTGGAGAAAGTCCAAACGAGAAGGTCGAAACAAGAACGGGCCCAAACGATAACGACCCTGTCATCGCTGATATTAGCGGCTTGGATAGCTGTTTAAGCCACTGGATGGCACCAGGTTTCAGAAAAGGTTCTCAAATGGTTTTGTAGGCCACCATTGGAGTCACTAGACGGCACTGCATTTCGAAAAGTGACTAATGTATGCGACTTCATTTTTGCGAGAACCTGGTTTTGACCAAATTCGCTACTCGAACACTACGGTGAAAAATTTATCGCGTGAATATGGCTCGAGGGTTACACATTCATAGCGTATCGCAATATTACGTGTCCACAAAATATTCTCACACTTGGCAAAATTCGCGAAATATTGAACGTGCCAAAGTAAAGTAGTATTTCAACGTCCTCGAGCGGCGTCGTAAGGGGCGAGACGGCTGTCGGAGTTGCGAGGTGGTGCTGAATTTTGGACGGGCGGGGTGTGGCTTGCTTCCAGGGGCCTGAACGAGGAGCAGGTGAAGCCTCGCTCGCTGCGCTTCACGTGGAGCATGAAGACGACGTCGTCGCGGGACCCCAACGAGATCATGCAGGAGATCCGCAAGGTGCTGGACCGGAACAACTGCGACTACGAGCAGCGGGAGAAGTTTTTGCTGCTGTGCGTGCACGGGGACCCCAACACGGACTCGCTGGTCCAGTGGGAGATTGAGGTGTGCAAGCTGCCCCGGCTGTCGCTCAACGGCGTGCGCTTCAAGCGCATCTCGGGCACCTCCATCGGCTTCAAGAACATCGCCTCCAAGGTGGCCAACGAGCTCAAGCTCTGACTCTCTCTCGACCTCGAGGAGGAGGCCGGCATGCGTGCGCGACACCCGTGAGCGTGTACATACGTAGGACACGACGGGCCTCCCCCCGGCCCCGACGGCGCCGCGAGTGCCGCACGGATGTGCCGCCGCCGAAGGGGGGAGGCCCTTCTTTGGGGTTTGTCTGTTTCAATTGTGCACGTGGGAGGGGCCGCATTCCCCCGGTGTGTGTGTGCGTGCGCGAGAGTTACTTAGCGAGGGACGCGCTCGGGCCAGAGAGATGCGACGGACACTTTCGAGACCAAACACTGTCCCCGAGCTCGTGTCTGCATTTTTTGTTTTAGCTTACGGAAGAAAAGAGCCCCCTTCTTTTTAGACTGCCTCTCTCCGGTCTTTTAGCATTCTCCGACCGGCCGAGACCGCCGCGGCACCCCCGCGGCGTCCGGCTCCGGGGAAGGGACACGTGGGCGGCGTCGTCGTCTGCCTCCCGACTCCGCTCCCCGGCCGCCGCGTCGGACGACACTTGCAGCTCAAGGAGTCTGTTCTCTTTTTTTTTATACACTTAACACGCCGGTTATTAGAAATGACTTGTACATAAACCTTGTTTTTTGTTTCGGAGCATTGCCGTGTACATATACAACAGGCATTGGGGGCTGCCCCGACGGTTTCTCCACGCATTGCCGCCTGTTTTCCGCCGCCCGCAGAGGTGGTTCCCCTTCCCCTCCCCTTTGCCCGCCGCAAAGGGGAAAGGAGGCAGATTTCTCGTGCGGGAAACGTGGGGGCGGAGCCATGTACATACACCGGCGGCGCGCGCCGGTGCGGGAGGCGGCGTGGGACGCCCGGTAGCCGCACTTATTTTTGTGTGACGCTTGGGCGGTGCCGGCCTCTGCAGTGTCCGGCGGAGGAGCACCGCCCGCAGTCTTCTCTCTCTTCCCCTTTCCCGGAGAAATTGGTTACTAGTTGTTCAGTGTAAATATCTGGAACTTTCGTAATTACGAGTAAGCGCTAGGGAAGTTTCTAGTGTATAATTTATCTAAAAACAAATAAAGGGTCCTTCCGACGCGAGGAGTTGCGTGCCATTTCTTCGGGCGACGCCTGCTGCCGACGGCAGACCGTTGGTCCGGACGGATGCGGGTGGCGCCTCAAGTGCAAGAGAAAAGGTACTCGCGCCTTTTCGATCGGAGGCTCCTATTTTGTCGAGGGCACGTTTGATTTGTCTCTCAGTGCTCCAGTTTGCTTTCAGTGGTGCAGGGTTTTGTGGACAGGTTAAAGAAGCAGGACAAGGTAGAAAGCAGGTGGCTCCACCACCTGCTTTCTACCTTGAATGGCACTACGTTGTCTCGTGAGCTCGCATAGCCAAAGCACCATGGAACGCAACGAGCGTGTGATAGGGGGGGAGTTCTACGTCATTGTTAACCTGTCACCGACTGTAGTCTGCATTGTAGTCATGTACGAAGCGTGATCGGAGTTTTGCAATTCTGTCTGCTATAACCGGAAGTCTGGGAGCCATCTTTCTACAAGCTCCGAACATCGTCACTTAAAGGGAAACTCCACTTCATTCTCGGTTGTTGACAAACACTGACCCTCTTTAGTATCATCTAAAGAGGTTAAGTATCAAATATTAAAACGTAATATCACCTAAAATATCTTTAACCGGCCGACAAAGACTGAGATGCGCTAAGTCATCAAAATCTGCTAGTTTAGCGGGCGACGAGCGGCACAACCAACATTGTATTTCTGTTGTGGCTGACGTCTGTTGCATACACAGTTTTTTTCTTGGTATTTTTTTTCCAGGGAGAGCTTTTCAGGCGGCGCTACGAACACACTCCGCGTCTGAGCAAGCAAAGAAGTGAGACAGACGAAAAAAAAAAATGAACGAGAACAAGAGAAACAAGAGGAGGGAGAGGGTTGTACCGAATGAGTTTCGCTGACGTACGTGCCAACCCTGCCAACCGGTGCCAACAGACTAGCCGCCTTCGTTGCTGCTTGCATTGCCTGTTCACTGCCGCAGCTTCGCCCGTCCCCTCTTCGCTCCTCGCCCTTTCCCGCGCATCCGCGTCTTTTTTGGGTGACCGCAGGTAGATCACGTGACCACTTGTATCCCACGTGGGTGTGTATGCAACTGACGTTGAGGGTAGAATGTTGCCCGGCTGAGCCGAAGTTTCAGTTTCGGTTTGCAATTATGGTCAATAACAAGATCGCACGAAAAATGTTTTAGTTCTAATGAGACAAACGGTCTAGGGTTGTTTTGAAGTACTTTTCTCGTTTATATCACCCACTATTTCAAAATTTCCAAAATCGAGCGGAGTTGCCCTTTAAGAATTACCGAAATAAGGTGTCTGAAGTTTCCACAGAATCTAACCTTTCGTATGGCAGTGCTTCCACAGTCATCAGGGGTGGAACGGCTGCGCCATTCGCGCAATTTTGCGCCAGACGCATGTGTCTGCGCCATTCTGATCCATGTTGCAGAAACTGCGCCACAGCCAATACCTCGCGCCATTATGCGCCAAATCGCAAAACGTGTGCCAAAAAACTTTTTATTTTGTCTTGGTTTCGGTTTCATTGATTCGATTAGCAACAATGAGCGCGTTTAGCCTGGTCGGCTTTGCAAACCTTTGTTCCGTTTATTCTCCCTGTGTATCCCGAGTCGGAAGCGCACGAAAAAGCTCGGATTCTAAGCGCTACACCACTTGCGACTGGATTGTTATTCTTCAACCATAAGTGGTTAAGCAAGTCGGCTGAAGTGAGGTCGAGTCGTTAAGCGTCAGATTGCCTGAGGCTCTGCGGCTCGGGATTCGAGATCCGGACGTCAGCCAGTGAAAAACAAATGAGCAAAATATTTCTTTTAGTACTTCATCGTTAGAAGTTGGAACCTTATTCTCGCAAAATAAATCGTGATTTTATGGAACTGAAACGCGGTCCGATCCGAAACCTTGCCGACGAGCAGCTCTTACGCGAGTGGCAGATCTACTAGGCGTACTTTAACCTTGCTACTGCTTATCGCTTCAAATACGATAACTTCGTTAATCGTAGCCTGCTGCTTCGATATCGAGTTGCACAATAGGATAAACTCGAAATTTGTTGCCTTGTTTCTTCGTGCAACTGCAGGTCCATTGCTTAAGTACGTCACGTGGTTCGCACATATCATGACTATGTCGAGCATGTGTGGGTTGTGCGATAAGCAGTGCTGGTTTGCATTTTGAGCAGCTGAAAGCCACTCAGAAAATGCGAAGGACGCTATCTTCAGAAACATAGGGTACTTGCTTTTTGATTCTCATTAAGGCTCACAAAGTTTCCAGTTTTCGCATGTGTTACACTGTTATCCCATCTACCTAGGTCCCTAACCACTCATAGTCATCTGTGCTGCTATTGAAATTGCTCCCGTGCTTGCTAAAGTGCAATGAATACTGATCTGAGCTGCTCCCAGCCTGCTCCAGAACGTAGTTTTAGCTGCCCCCAACCTGCTCCAAAACACCTGTTTCAGCTGCTCCCGTGGCTGCTCCCAAGTACATTTCCCGAGTTCCACCCCTGGTCATCCATGTTTTGGGTATGTCAAAGGTCTTGGCACGATGGGTGCCACAGAGCTTCTCTACGGAAGATCGACACCACCGCTTGCATTTTGAGCTTCTATGAAGGTTGCCCGGAAGATTTTATTGCCCACCTTCTGACTGGGGATGACACGAGGCTCTACCAGTGGGACCCAGAAGCCAAATGACTGTGCAGTGGAGGCATTTAGGCTCTTTCCCTCTGAAAAAATTCAGGTTGGCACTCGAGGAGGAAAGTGATGGCGAGAGTGCTTTGAAACGCAGAGGGGATCCGGCTGAGTGATTATCTGGAAAACGGACACAGTGACGGGCAAATATTATGCCATCGTTCTCCGCAAACTGCGCGAGACCGTCGTGGAAAAAACGACTAGGATTGGTGACAAGACATGTTTTCTTCCTGCGTGACGTCCCCTTTCACAAGTCACAGGTTCACAAAAGAGCTCTTGAAGATCTTGATTACCCACCTTACAGTCCCTATCCGGCCCCTAGTGCCTTTTTTTACTTCCCGAATCTAAGGAAACGCTTCGAGGGAACAAGGTTCTATGACTTGAATGCGCTGCAAACGACGCTGAGCAATTGCTTAACACGCCGACTTCATCAGTTCAGAGCACGAAAACGGCACCTAGTTTCTCTGACCCTGAAGGTCCCATTGGCTGGCGACGAGGTTCCCATTGGCCGCTGTGCGCGTCTGTTTCCACAACCGCCACCAGATGGCGCTGTGTGTCAGTGCCGAAAGTGCGCAACCCCATGCCACTACGGGCCCCGTGTTGGTTAAAACGGACACGTTGGCGTGTGCTTGGAGGCCTCTGCTCGTCTCGCCGCCGACCAACATGCCGTCGCGTCCATCATCCAAATCGTCGGCGGTGCTTCTGCTCGTCTTGCCTCCGACGAACATGGCACCACCTCTAGCATCCGCATCGTCGGACATTTATATTTTCGCATTCACAACTCATAAGAAGTGCTTAGGTGCCTTCAAACTTTTTTTATATGCGACTTGCAAATCTTTCTGACCATCTCTCGTACAAGTAAAAAATGCACCGTAAGCTACCCCCCACACCCTCATTATCAGCGGCCAGTGTTCCACGACAATGCGCCAATAGTCCGCTACCGAGGCTCGCGTCCTGCTGACATCTGGGGAAACCAGTGCACACTGCTCACCCCCCCCCCCCCCCCAAAAAAAGAACAAGACGGGCTATTTGCAGAGAAAATGCTCCATTATCTGGACAGGTGCAGCAATCTAGTGGTAGGGAAACTGCCTGAACTTTAAAGGGTTACACAGATGGGACACACAGACAAAGCTCTGCGCAATCGTTTTGTGTTCGAGCTGTTTCTTACCATTGGTCAGAATCCACCAACAAGGTCAACTCGAAGTGGTAGTCCAACAATCTAGGGCACGCCCTCGGTCACGCCAGCGACTTTCTGTTCCACATGTCGACACGTAGTGTGACCTGCGATGGCTGCTGCATTTCCTGGTTGATCCGTGGAGCAATTGAATGTGGTGGCTGGTAACATGGTGGTGCTTATTTGGCACATTCTTAACTCTTATCTTGCTATAGTACTCGACGTGAACCGCATTAGTTGGTGGCTTCCTCCCGTTTGATCCCCCCTTCACTAATTCTAAAGGTGTTCCGATCTCCGAGCATGCTTTCTGACTGTTCTTGTTTGTGCCAAATGTCTTTTTGATAAGGTCAGGTTAAATTGGGTATAGTAAACTTTCGTTCGACTTCGGTTAATTCGACTTTAATTTAAGTCGATCGTGTTCAAAAGTGTGGTGAGCTCCCATACATTTCTATGGGAGGAAAAGTTTGATATTTCGAACTCGGGAAGACTCCGTATCGGATGATTCGTCCCAAGTGAATGTGCGCGGGCTCTCATTGCACGTCACCATGGCAGAAAAATTAACGTACGGCGAAACACTGGCCTTTTGCTGCAAAGCCGAACGTGCACAAATATGCGCCTGCTCCTTTATGCCGTCGAGATGAACGAAAAGAAATGACACGAGCCAGCGCAACCAATCTGGCGTGGAGTAATGCGGAGAACATAGCATGTGGTCAGGCGCGGAGACGGCGCGCTCTCAAAGCGCTTTTTTGTAGCATTGTTTGCGGTCCATCTTGCGCGTTGGGAAATGTGGGTTCGCTTTTCCTTTTTATTTTTTTTTTGTTATTTTTCTTTGTCGCCGACGGTCTAGTTGCCCAACGCCAAAGTCAACTCGTAAAACTTTTTTTTTTTTTGTAGTCCACGATTTTTTGAGGACGTGGCATTTAGTTACGCTGCTCTCCGTTCTATCTTCAGTGTGCTAGACCTCGTGCAAAAAAATATATACAAATTGAAGGTCTGGGTACCCCTCAATTCTTGCCTTCTTTTGAGTGAGGTGTGCAGTGACGACGGAGCACCACATTGGGTACTTTCCTGAAGGCCCCGAATCCTCCCTCTGGGCTTGTAAAATTTTCAAGGTTCAATTTGGCTACAATAGGGAGGGACAGGTATTCACAGAAAGAAATCCCTTGCTTTGCTC